TCAGATCAACTTCCAACTTCCAGAAACAAAATTCAAGTTTGGAAAATTTGTTTTCATGATTTATATAGCTTTTTTGATCTATTTATTTTGGCTATGGAAGTTGTGTTTTTGAGCAATGAAATGGCAATTTTACACGAGTTTCCAGACTGTGAAATTGGAAATTTGAAATTGGAAATTTGAAATTTTCCGATTGATTTTTTATTACTTACATTCATTTCACTATATTATGTATGTACAAGATTATCCAACAAAAGTGCTTTCTACCTTATATACCTGTTATAATTGAAGAGGTAATATCTCAATATCCAGAGGTATCGTGCCAAATTTTTTTGAGATTGTAGCTCTTACTGGATGCTTTGATGTGGTATTTGAGAAATATTTGTACCACCAGTGGTGTTTCAGCACATTCAACTTGAAGTTTTGGATGAAATTTAGGCAAAATTCCAACTTTGAGGGCGAAATCTATGAAAAAAGGCACTCAGAAAAATTGAAAAATTGATAAAACAACCCAAATTGCTTAACATGATTTTATCTCAGGAACTTTTAGTGCAAATGAGCTGAAATTTTCAGGGATTGTAGTCCTTTGAAAGGGATAAAATTGAGTGAAAGTTTCAGCTTTCTATCTATAATAAGAAAATTATTCCCGGAATCTATAAGTCAATTCAAGAGCCTGGAATAGAGACAGCATTCAAAATAAGACATCGTCGAATAAGCCCAATAATAACTGTTCTGGAAACAGACTGGAAATGTGATAAAATTATACAAAATATTCACCGAAACAGGGATATTATAGGGAAAACAATTTTTGAGCCTCAGACAGTGGCGGCTCGTCAGAGGAGGCAGGGGAGGCTAAACCTCCCCTAAAAAATTGAAAATTCAATCTCAATTTTTTATTCCTGATTTATAATTAAAATAATAATTAACAAATTACACTTTCCAATTTTCGATATTTCAATGTAATTTAGAAAAGTCTGACAACATTATTTTAATCAATCCCGCGCCTCCACGACAAATATCTGTGAATCTGGGATACTCAGTGATACCGGCCCGAAGGGCCGGAGTTATATGCGAGCCCGAAGGGCCGGAGTTATATGCGAGCCCGAAGGGCCGGAGTTATATGCGAGCCCGAAGGGCCGGAGTAATACGAGCCCGAAGGGCTAGAGTTTTATGCGAGCCCGAAGGGCCGGAGTTATACGCGAGCCCGAAGGGCTAGAGTTATTTTAATCACGGGGCCTTGTTTATAATTCCTTTGGTCAGCGGATAATTTAGAGCTAATTAAAAACCGGGAGTATTTAAAATGCGATTTTTAACGTCCGATCAAAGAGTCGGGAATATTCAAAAACTTTAGTTTTATCAAATTGGCTTTGGAATGTTGGTTTTCTTAAGATTTTTACTTTTTTCAGAAAACGGTGGTTTTTGCAAACATATACTGCTTTATCGTTGTCTTTGTCTTACTCACTATAATCAATAAGGAAACCTTGTAATGTCATTTTCATTGAAATTAAATTAAAAACAAGTTTCCTATGATTTATTTGGGGAATTTTTATTATTATAATCATTATTAATTTATTATTAAATTGAATTTTGAACAAAAAACCCTTTTAAAAAGTTATTTTTGTTTTCCGAAATGAGATGTGGCAACGTTGCTTTTAGTTGGCCATTTTGAAGTGACGCCTTGTAACCTTTTGCCAGTTTTTCCTCGAATTTTTCACTTTTCCGGGGTTTTTCAATAGAAAAAAGCAATTTAACATACGAGGTTTTGAGTTTTCTTCATTTTCTAGCAAAAATGTCCAGTTTTAAAATGACAAAAATAACAAAATCCCATTTAAAGCCTAGTACTCATAACTGCGAAATTCGCATTTTTTTGACATTGCGTTGACAATTTGACGTTTGATACACGCATAAAACGTCAAATTGTCAACGCAATGTCAAAAAAATGCGAATTTCGCATTTATGAGTACTAGGCTTAAAATGGTTTTTTTTGAAAGTTTTGATGTGGCAACACCGTTTATACCAACTTCAAATAAAGTCTGTTTTTTTTTTAAAGATAATTTCCCAAGTCAAACATTTAGTAACCATGTTGGCAACACAAGCCTTTTGTACATAAAAAATTTGGAAGCATTGACAATTTTACATTGTATTGCCAACATAATGTCATTTTGACTTTTATCTTTAAAAAAAAAACAGGCATTAGGTTTTGTAATAAAAATAAATGTCATTTGACAGTCGGCAATTTTTAATTGACGTTTTTACATTTCTATCCACTTTTCCTCGAATTTTCCGCCTTTCTAAGCCGCTTTCAGTCAAGAAAACCGATTTGAAATACGAGGCTATGAATTTCCTACATTTTGTGCTAAAAATTCCCAGTTTTTCAATGGGGTAAGTGACAAAAACTCATATTTCATTAAGTAGGCTTTGGAATGTCATGTTTAGAGGTTTTTCTTTGAATTTGTCCGCTTTTCCAGGGCTTTTCTGGTCGGAAAAACCGATTTAAAGTACGAGGCTTTGAGTTTTCTTCATTTTCCACCAAAAATTTCCAGTATTTTAACGGGGTAAGTGAGAAGTTTTATCAAGTAGGTTTTGGAATGTCATTTTCGTTGTTTTTTTTTTGAAATTTTTATTTAAGGTTTTTGGGGTCTGGGGATCGTTTTCTATCACTTTTTTTCTCGAAATACGCAAAATAAAAAAAAAACTTTTTTAACGTTGACAGCTGTCAATTTTTTTTGACACAAATCGATAGTTAGCGTCGCGAAACTGCCTTGTACCGGGGTTTGATTTTCGTAACTTTTATAGTAAAGCGGGGAAAAAGTCGAACATGTGTCAAATTTGACAGGTGACATTTGTCGATATTGCCAAAGTATCGTGCGACAAAAGTTTTATCCGAACGAACCCGTTCATTAATTGTTAACTGATTTTTCATACTCCGGCCCTTCGGGCCGTAATCTTTGAAACAAAATGACGTCATTTTGTATCGATTGTCAAAAAAACCCAAGGTTTGAAATTTCAATTTTTTGACGTTTGTTGTATCATGAACAGTGTTGCCATATGTTTTTCTTTCAAATCTCGAGCTCGAAGGGCCGAGATTATAGATTATTTTAAAGCCAATCAAGAGCCGGGAATAAACAAAATTCGAATCCCCAAACCAATCAGGAGCCGGGAAAATTCAAAAATCCGAATTCCAAACCCGACGGGAAATTGAATTTTTTGTACCAACTGTTGCTACATGTTGTTACATAAATCTCACCCTAAAACCCACTAAAAAACGACCTTTGTTTTTTGGAAAAAACAAAAGATTTTTTTTTTTGAGATTGACAGCTGTCAAAATTTTAATGGGCATATAGATTTAGCCTCGGCGAATACGCAGGAACTACCAATTTTTTTTTTTTAACATATGTTAAAAAAGACGTTCGGCGTTGCCACGCGGTTGGTTTTTGACAAATATCGATGAAACTTCTTATTTTAGGGTTTTCGGAGCCTGGGGATCGTTTTCTGACATTTGTTTTTTGAAAAAAAGAAAAGGTAATATTTTTTGACATTGACAGTTGTCAAAATTTTTAAAAAAAACCCACATGGGTATATAGATTTAGCCTCGGCGAATACGTAAAAAGTAGCCAAACAGGGCCAATTTTTTGACGTTTGTTGTATTATAAGCAGTGTTGCCATATGTTTTTTTTTTTTCGAATCTCGATTCTGGAAGGCTGAAGTTATTTGAATTATGAGCTCAAAAGGCCGAGGTTATACGAGTCCGACGGGCCGGAATCATGCGAACCCGAAGGGCCGGAGTTATACGAGCCCGACAGGCCGGAGTTATTTTAATCATGAGCCCGAAGGTCCGAGGTTATACGAGCCCGAAGGGCCGGAATTATACGAACCCGTTCATTGTCAACTGATTTTAATACTTCGGCCCTTCGGATCGTAATCTTTGAAACAAAAAGAGGCCATTTTATATCGACTGTCAAAAAAAACCAAGGCCTACTTTGATATTTCAATTTTTTGACGTTTGTTGTATCATGAGCAGCGTTGCCATATGTTTTTATCAAATCTCGATTTATAGGTTATTTTAAACCCAATCATTAACATTTCTGAAAAATATTTCCTTTAAAATTCCCAAATATCCTTTGGAATCCCCAAAAATCTATTAAAATCTCAGAATTCCATAATTTAGTGGAATTTCGGTAGAATAATTATGTTATTCTGAAAAAGGAATTAGATGTGAAATTTTTGCGGAGTTTCTATAGAATTCACATTAAATTTTAATTCTTCTCGAATTACTTGAAATTTCAGTGAAATTCCGATTGAATTACACGAAATCCTAAATGAATTACATTGGAGGAATTTTAAACAATTACATGAAATTACACCGAAATTCCCAACATGAAATTTCAGTTTTTACTGAATTTTAGTAATGCTGAGGAATTTCCAACTAAAAACATGGAATTTCGGTGATATTCCGAAAAATTACCATGTAATAACATGAAATTTCAATATATTTCGATGAATTTTTAAGAAATTACTTGAAACTTCATTAATATTCCCAGGCTATTAAAAAAGAATTACAGTGAAATTCCGAAAAATTCTTATGAAAATAAATTAAATTTTGAAAATTCCTTAAAGTTTCATTGGATTTTCGAGAAATTTTCGGTTATGAATATTCTCATAAAATTTTAGTGAATTCCGAGAAATTTTTAAGAAATTACATGAAATGTCAATGAAATTCCAAAGAATTTTATGAAAATTTTGTGGAATTCCAGGCTATTTCAGTGGTCAAATTTTGAGGAATTTTAGTAAAGTTAAAAAAAAAAATAAATATGGAATTTTGAAATTGAATTCCGAGGAATTTCATGAAATCCTATACTGTAATTAGCCTCCTCACTTGAAATAGTCACGAGCCGCCACTGGGCTCAGATTAACGAAGAAATACTTTTGCTGAAATAAATTGATGCAGAATACTTCACACAGCAATATCGTTTATTCGAAATTACAAAACTACCTACCTAAACAAATAAATATTCAATCAATAATAAGTAAAATTATTCTTAAAGCTTAATTAAATGCAAATACCAGAAAAAACCCTATCTGTTATTGATTATTGGAAGCAATATTTGGTATGATCATGGATTACTTGCCAATATCAACAAGAAATTTGAACTCTCGGAGTTGCCATCAGGGAATGAATTTTAGCTTTATAAAATTTTACAAAAAAAAAAAACATAAAGTAAAACATAAATTAATTAATCTAAAAAAATACTCTAATTCAATTGTGAATCCCTTTTTCGAAAATCTGTCTCAAAATTTCGCTGACGAATTTCTTTAAAAGCCCTTCGCGTTTTTTACCCACGTCGATCACTTCTTCGTGGTTCGGTTCCTGGGTGGTTTCGTACTGAACCACGCACTCGTTGGTGATCAAACTAAAAGCGAACACCGTCATGTCGCAGTGATTCGCAGTGATCACTTCGTGAACTGTCGACATACCAACTGCGTCTGCACCTAAAACAAGATTTGGATTGTTATTTTATGAAAAACATCCACAATTTGTGGAAACAGTAGAAGCATCTACAATCTACAAGCTGGATTGTTGTTTTTGATCAACAAAAAAACATTAATATTTCCTGGAAAGATCTCAGGTTGTAGACGAATTTGTTTCCCATGGACCTATGATGAACATCATGAATGAATCTAGTAGTTCTTACCTAACATCTTCAACATGCCTAGTTCAGCAACAGTTTCAAAATTAGGTCCACCCAAACAAGTATAAACACCTTCGTGGACCTTGTCGCCCAAACCAATTTCGTGGGCGACCTTTTTCGCCAATTTGATAATGTCTCGGTTGTAAGCTTGGTTCATGGGTGGAAATCTGGGTCCGAAACGTTCGTCGTTGGGTCCTTGCAAAGGGTTATTACCGGCGAAGCCCATTATGTTGATGTGGTCTTTGACGAACATTATGTCGCCCACTCTGTATTTTGGGTTCAGGCCTCCGGCGGCGTTGGTGATGAACAGATGAGATACACCTGGATGAAGAGTTGGAAAGTTAATATTGACACAAAAATTCAATGTTTCATCTTTATTCCAGGCTCATGAATTTCTGTTTTCAAGAGCCTGGAATTAAAATACTATACTTATATTCATATTCCAGATATCAATTTTTTTACCTAACAACTTCATAATCCTAATCGGCATGCAACATTTCCACAAAGGGTAGCCCTCGTAGTAATGGAAACGGCCCTTCATTACCACAGTGGGCAATCCAGACAAGTAACCAAAAACCAAAGAGCCTGCATGGCCTTTAACGGTACTTCTTGGAAAATGTGGAATTTCCGTGTAGGGGATTTCGATGGAATTTACTAATGTTTCTGCTAAGGAACCTGGAAAAATTGAGTTCAATAGAAATTTATCAAGCAAAATTTCTAGAAACTCTCATACCCAATCCAGATCCGCAAATAATACCCACTTGTGGTGCGAATGGTACCTTTTTTTTCAAATACTCTACAGTTTCTACTAATAATTCATAAGTATATCTGCGAAAAAAAAAAAAAAAAAAATACAATGTCATTATTGTAAAAAATTAATTAATATAAGTGATAAAAATTGTTAAGACATTTCATCATCATTTCTACACACGTGTGAATTAATTATAATACCTTTGTACTATGAATGACTTTGTGCAATTAAAATTCCTCATTCTAACTAATTAAAAAAAAAAATTGCAAAAATAATTCCTACCTTTCTCCACTATCAATTTCCTCACTTCTGGTCACTTTGGCAGTACCATTACTTTGGTACCCGTTGGTTTTCGTAGTCATGATGTTGCTAGGACAAAGAACGACTTGAAAATGAATTTTATCTTTTCAAAGAAAAGCTCCCGGATTGAGAGTCTCCGGACAGCGATACCCTCTGGCTCTTATATAGTTTGTGTAATGAGTAAAAGTAAATCTGTTTTCAATAATAAATTATTGGTACTTATATGTAGACACAGTGGCGGACTTTTGATTTATATAGAATATCGATATTATTTGAGCTCAAACGCCTCTGTTTTTTTCTTTGTAAAAATAATAAATTCACTCAAAGAAAAAAAAAAGCCATTAATTTTATTTAATTACATAATCTATCAGATTTATTCTTTGGGGTTTATCGGAAAGTTCAATTGTAATTTTGGGGCTTTTGTTTTGGAAACGAGGTGGAAACAGTTTCGCAATTGAGATTGTTTTATCAGCAATCAATTTAGAATAAAATTGCATTTTGGAGCTTTTTAGATTCACTAAGTTTCTTATGAGAAGCTCAATTCAAGTCAGTTTTCAATTGATCATTTATATTATTTTAGAAGACATTTATTTTATATGTATCAGGTAGGTACCCTCTATCCTTTTCCCAAATAATGGTTCGGTTTCGGTAGACCTTTCCCAAGCAAAAAGGATGTGAATTGTTATTATTAAATTGTAAACCCTGCAGACTCTTTGTGAACAAAAAAATACTACCTACTTGTAATTATTGTAAAGCATAGATACCCAAACCTTCCAAGTATCCCGAAGGGACATTCTTTGAGATATTTCGCCGACATTTATTGAGGATTGAGGGTTTTCCTTAGATTAAGTAGGTAATAAATTTTTAGAAGGAATGTTGGTGTCAATTTAGGAAAGATTGAGAGAAGAAAAATTCAGTCATGAGATAACTTTCAGTCAGAAAACAGCTTTGGTTAAAGACACATTTTTTGTAAGACTCTCTCTCAAATCACTGCGTATCATTTTATAATACAAACAGCTGTATGTAACATCCTCTTTTAACTTAAAAGCGTTTTTAAAAACTGGTACTTCTAAAAATTTGTATGGCTTAGAATACACATTTTTAAAAGTGACCATTTTTTTAAGTGAAAAGCAGATGAGGATTAAGAGCTCATTATGCCAAATGTTTACATTTTCCCTGTGAAAAACTACGATCTAGGAAATTCTCGAAAATCAACTTACAAAAAGCAAAATGAAGCAAATACATCTCCCTAACATTTTCATACTTTTCTGGGAAACTACTGAAGCAAAAATTTTCAAATTTTTGTAGTGAAAAGTTGAAGGTTGAGAACTCATTTTGCCACACTTCTACATTTTTCCTGTAGAAAACTATGATCTGGGAAATTCTTAAGAATCAACCTCTAAAAAGCAAATGTATCTCTCTACATTTTCATACATTTTTTGAAAACTACTGAAGCGAAAATTTGCAAATTTTTCAATTGAAAAGCAGAGGATTAAGAGCTCACTATGCCAAACTTTTACATTTTCCCTGTGAAAAACTACGATCTGAGAAATTCGCGAAAATCAACTTCCAAAAAGCAAAATGAAGCAAATACATCTTCCTAACATTTTCATACTTTTCTGGAAAACTACTGAAGCGAAAATTTTCAAATTTTTGTAGTGAAAAGTGGAAGGTTGAGAGCTCATTATGCCACACTTTTACATTTTTCCTGTTGAAAACTACGATCTGGGAAATTCTCGAAAATCAACTTCCAAAAAGCAAAAAGAAGCAAATACATCTCCCTATCATTTTCATACTTTTCTGGAAAACTACTGAAGCGAAAATTTTCAAATTTTTCTAGTGAAAAGTGGAAGGTTGAGAGCTCATTATGCCACTCTTTTACATTTTTCTTGTGGAAATTTACGATCTGGAGAATTCCTGAAAATCAACCTCCAAAAAGCAAATATACATATCTCCCTACATTTTCATATTTTTCTGGAAAACCACTGGAGCGACAATTTTCAAATTCTTGTAGTGAAGAGTGAAAGCAGGTTAGGAGCTCATTATGCCACACTTTTACATTTTTCCTGTGGAAAACTACGATCTGGGAAATTCGCGAAAATCAACTTCCAAAAAGCAAAATGAAGCAAATACATCTCCCTAACATTTTCATACTTTTCTGGAAAACTACTGGAGCAAAAATTTTAAAATTTTTGTAGTGAGAAGTGGAAGGTTGAGAGCTCATTATGCCACACTTCTACATTTTTCCTGTGGAAAACTACGATCTGGAGAATTCCTGAAAATCAACCTCCAAAAAGCAAATATATAATATCTCCCTAACATTTTCATACTTTTCTGGAAAAATACTGGAGCGAAAATTTTCAAATTTTTGTAGTGAAAAGTGGAAGGTTGAGAGGTCATTATGCCACTCTTTTACATTTTTCCTGTGGAAAACTATGATCTGGGAAATTCTTAAGAATCAACCTCCAAAAAGCAAATGTATCTCTCTACATTTTCATACTTTTTTTGAAAACTACTGAAGCGAAAATTTGCAAATTTTTTAAGTGAAAAGCAGATGATTAAGAACTCTTTATGCCAAACTTTTACATTTTCCCTGTGGAAAACTACGATCTGGGAAATTCTCGAAAATCAACTTCCAAAAAGCAAAATGAAGCAAATACATCTTCCTAACATTTTCATACTTTTCTGAAAAACTACTGAAGCGAAAATTTTTGTGGTGAAAAGTGGAAGGTTGAGAGCTCATAATGCCACTCTTTTACATTTTTCCTGTGGAAATTTACGATTTGGAGAATTCCTGAAAATTAACATCCATCATTTGTAACCGGCCTTAAAGACATCTTGAATGTCGTTTGTGGACATATCTTTAAGATGTCTACAAAAATTTCCCACAAAATTCGTTTCTCATCCAATTTAGAAGTTACGGGAAACCATTTGCTTCTTCTGTAGCGTTTCAGAAAAATTTGGGAACTTCAGAACCATTTCAGAATGCCCCAAAACATTCAAAAACTTATTTACAATATCCAAGAACAATTCAGAAGTTTGAAACCCAAAGGATCCTAAAAACATTTCGAAAAGTGCAAGAATCTTCAGGATTCAGGTTAAAAGTTACAGAACATCTTTCAAGAAGACTTTTAAAAAAGTGAATTTAGATTGCTTTAGACATAAGCATCCAAATCAGAATCAGGAGCATTTTGGAACAATTATTGAGAAACTTCAGAGTTATTTTAGAACAATAAGGATTCAATTCAGAAAAAAAAGAACCTATTAGGACTCTTTCGAATCAATTTAGAACACTTTGGAACTTCAATAGGGCTCTAAAATGCTTGAAATTATGTTAGAACAATTAAGAAATTACTTTAAAACTTCTAGAATGTTCCAAAACTCTTTAAGCCAAGTTAGAACACTCTAGAACTTCTATAAGCCATTTAGAATGTTCTAAAACACTCTATAGCAGCAGGCTACTTAATTTTTCCTATTCCAGGCTCTTGATTTTGTTTTCTAATTTTCACTCTTGGCTCTTCTAATGTTTTTCTTCCATAAAGAATTTGGCTCTAGGCTCTTGAATTCTCTTCTCTACTCTCATCTAGGTAGGTACTTTAATTTGGACATTTTTGTTTTGTATCTGGATAATATTTTGTCTATCCTAGGCTCTTGGATTTTCTTTATTTAAACAAATTTGAAGATAATAGAAATTCAAGAGCAGTGGCGGCTCGTCAGAGGAGGCAGGGGAGGCTAAGCTTCCCCGAAAAAATTGAAAATTCAATCTCAGTTTTTTATTCCTGATTCCTAATTGAAATAATAATTTACAAATTTCGATATTTCAATGTAATTTAAAAAAATCTGACAACATTATTTCAATCAATCCCGCGCCTCCACGACAAAAATCTGTGAATCTGGGATACTCAGTAATACCGGCCCGAAGGGCCGGAGTAATACGAGCCCGAAGGGCTAGAGTTATACGCGAGCCCGAAGGGACGGAGTTATACGCGAGCCCGAAGGGCTAGAGTTATTTTAATCACGGGGCCTAGTTTATAAGCGGATAATTTAGAGCCAATTAAAAACCGGGAGTATTTAAAATGCGATTTTCAGCGTCCGATCAAAGAGTCGAAAATATTCAAAAACTTTAGTTTTATCAAATTGGCTTTGAAATGTTGGTTTTCTTAAGATTTTTACTTTTTTCAGAAAACGGTGGTTTTTGCAAACATATACTACTTTATCGTTGTCTTTGTCTTACTCACTATAATCAATAAGGAAACCTTGTAATGTCATTGTCATTGAAATTAAATTAAAAACAAGTTTCCTATGATTTATTTGGGGAATTTTAATTATTATAATCATTATTAATTGGTTATTAAATTGAATTTTAAACAAAAAATCTTTGAAAAATGTTTTTTTTGTTTTCCGAGATGAGATGTGGCAACGTTGCTTTTAGTTAGCCATTTTGAAGTGACGTCTTGTAATTTTTTGCCAGTTTTTTCTCGAATTTTCGACTTTTCCGGGGTTTTTAATGGAAAAAAGGGATTTAACATACCGAGGTTTTGAGTTTTCTTCATTTCTTGGTAAAAAATTTCTAATTTTAAATGCCATAATTAGCAAAATCCCGTTTAAAATGCTTCTGATGTGGCAACTTGGCTTGTGGCTAACTTCAATCAAGGAAGCATTTTTGACAGTCAGCCATTTTCAATTGACGTGTTGACGACATTTTTATTCAGTTTTTCTTCGAATTTTTCACTTTTCCGGGGCTTTTTCAGTCAGGAAAACTGATTTAAAGTACGAGGCTTTGAGTTTTCTTCATTTTCCACCAAAAATGTTTTAACGGGGTAAGTGAGAAAAACTTTAGTTTTATCAAGTAGGTTTTGGAATGTCATTTTCCTTGTTTTTTTTTTTTTAGAATTTTTATCTAGGGCTTTTGGGGTTTGGGGATCGTTTTCCACCACTTTTTTTTATCGAAATTCGCAGAATAAAAAAATAAAAAAACTTTTTTGACGTTGACAGCTGTCAAATTTTTTTGACACAAATCGATAGTTGGCGTCGTGGAACTGCCTTGTACCGGGGTTTGATTTTCGTAGCTTTTATAGTAGACAGGGAAAAAGTCGAACATGTGTCAAATTTGACAAGTGATATCTGTCGATATCGCCAAAGTGTCGTGCGACAAAAGTTTTATCCGAACGAACCAGTTCATTGTCAACTGACTTTAATACTCCGGCCCTTCGGGCCGTTATCTTTGAAACAAAAAGACGTCATTTTATATCGATTGTCAAAAACATTAAGGTCTACTTTGAAATTTCAATTTTTTGACGTTTGTTGTATCATGAGCAGTGTTGCCATATGTTTTTTTTTTTTTTAAATCACGAGCTCGAAGGGCCGAGATTATAGGTTATTTTAAAGCCAATCAAGAGCCAGGAATATTCAAAATTTAAAGCCAATCAAGAGCCGGGAATATTCAAAACTTGAAGCCAATCAAGAGCCGGGAATAATCAAAATTCGAATCCCCAAACCAATCAGGAGCCGGGAAAATTCAAAAATTCGAATTCCAAACCCGACGGCAAATTGAATTTTTTGTACCAACTGTTGCTACATAAATCTCACCCTAAAACCAACTGAAAAACGACCTTTGTTTTTTGGAAAAAACAAAAGATTTTTTTTTTTGAGATTGACAGCTGTCAAAATTTTAAAAAACCTACATGGGCATATAGATTTTAGCCTCAGCGAATACGTATGAAGTAGCCAAACAGGGGACCGGCTAATTTTTTGACGTTTGTTGTAGTATAAGCAGTGTTGCCATATGTTTTTTTTTTTTCAAATCTCGATTCTGGAAGGCTGAGGTTATCTCAATTATGAGTTCAAAGGGCCGATGTTATACGAGTCCGAAGGGCCAGAGTCACGCGAACTCGAAGGGCCGGAGTTATACGAGCCCGACAGGCCGGAGTTATTTTAATCATGAGCCCGAAGGTCCGAGGTTATACAAGCCCGAAGGGCCGGAGTTATACGAACCCGTTCATTGTCAACTGATTTTAATACTTTTACTATATTTTTTAGCCTCCTCACTTGAAATAGGCGCGAGCCGCCACTGTTCAAGAGCCAGGAATAGATAAAAATTGAGATAGAGAATATGAAAAATCATGATACGTTGAATTCAAAATTGCTTTCCAGGCCTACTAACTGCTTAGTTTATACATTACTTAGGCTTTTCAAATTGTATGAAACTGGCTTCTGAGGATTTAAAAAAATCACTTTTAAAAGGTTGTATATACCTACCTGTCTTCCACCCAGAGCTGGGATCGTTACTTGAAAAAAGTAACGCGTTACTTTACAGTTACTTTTGCTTAAAAATAACTCGTTACTTAAAATTTACAGTTACTTTTCGAATAATGATAACTTTATTTTCGTTACTTATTGGAAAGTAACGCGTTACTGTAACTTCTTTACTTTGAAAGTAACTTCTTTACTTTAAAAGTAGTTCGTTACTTTTAAAGTAACGCGTTACTTCAAAAATAACTATTTACGTAGAAAATTGCGTTATTCCTTAATTTGACTCACCAACACAGCAGTCCAAACAATCAAATAAGACCTATACGAAATGCCAATATGTTTTTAGTTTGTGAGTCCGACTATGTGGAAGAGTATTCTTGCAAAATTCAAGCGGATTAAGGATTAAGCGACTGAATAGAGCACTTGATTTTGGACAAATCTGCTCTTTGAAGCGTCTCAGTGTCTGCATATATTGTCTTTAGAGCAGAGGCGGCGCATGGCACGCCCAAAAACGATTATTTTGAGCTTTCAAAACAAATTTTCTGTACTACCAACATTTTATTTGACATACAAAGTTTTTGGATTACTCATTTTCCTTTTCCTCACTCGTCAATTATTTGTAAAGAAGATTAACAAATTGAGAGAACGAGTTACTTTCATAGTAAATAGTAACGCGTTACTTCCAGCGTTATTTCAGGAAAGTAACGTCGTTACAGTTACTTATCAATCAATCTGAAAAGTAACGAAGTTACCAAGTAACGCGTTACTTTCAGTAACTCGTTAAAGTAAAGTAACTTTTTTTGTCGTTACTCCTAGCTCTGCTTCCACCTATAATTTTTTTTCTCCAAAAAAGTTTAAGAATATCGTTTCCCTAAATAAATCCATAAATATCTCAAAATTCAAATCGAATAAAACATAAGAGAAACAACAAACAATACGCAAACAAATTCCAATGACGTATGTTACCAATTATGAAATATTTATTATTTATTTCACTCTTTGAGGCCAAAAAATTATTTTTGATAAGAATAAAATGTCGCAAACAGGACTGGATAATGAAAATTCATGATTTACAAGATTTTTTAGTCCTTTAAAAATACCTATACAAGTACAGGGTTATCCAACGAAAGTGCTTTCTACCTGTTAATTGAAGAGGTACAAAAAAATGTTAAATATAAAAGTTGTTAGGATTTTTATGAAGAATTAGGAGCAAAATAGAAATGTAGGTTTAGAAAATATATTGTTTAATTATTATATCGAAAATGTGTCCAATATTAGACCAAATATGCTAAATTTTGCTTGAATCCAGCTTCACCTGGTTCACCTTTTACGCAAGGTGAATTACGTAAAAGGTGAATCAGGTGGTGCCGGATTTAAGCAAAATTTTGCATATTTCATCTAATAATGGACTCATTTTCAATATAATGATTATAAACAATAGTAATATAAGCAAGACTAGACAGAAACTTCTGACTCTTTACCAACTTCCAACGATGAAATATAATTTTTTTTCGTCATTTATATTGAAAAATCATTGATTAGCGATATCTCCAAAATTGATGAATTTAATACAGGGTGTTTAAAAAAGACACGGCAATATTTGAGAGAATGATTCCTCAGGTCATTTTATGGAAAAAAGTTCCCATAAACATAGGTCCAGAAATGCATTTTTTGCAAGATACAGGGTGGTAAAGATTAGACTAAGGAGCTCAAATCATTGGTGGGTGTAACTCAATTAGAAATGACCCTGGTATTTTTGAGAGAGTTCGCCAGTCAATGAGGAGAAGATTGAATTCCTGCATCCACGCCGGGGGTGGTCACTTTGAACAGTTTTTGTAATGTTTTTGTATCACAATGGACAAGCAAGAAAATAGTTTTCATTTTTTATTTTGTAAACGAAACAAGATACGAGAAAAATTTAAGAGACAAAAAAGTTGCAGTTTTAGTTGATTTATCTGAAAGAAAAATCGAAATTAAATTAAAGTCAGTGGCGTACATTTTTTCGTCAATAAATTTTATTAAATTGCCCCCCCTAACGCCACTGAAGTTGAAAAAAATTATCTAGTTAGGGCAAAACTAGCCCCTAATTACTAAAAACAACGCTGCCAATTTTCAAAAAAATCGGTGAGAAGATATTTGAATTATTTAAAACAAAAACGTTATTTAAAAAAAATCTTTAACACCCTGTATCTTGGAAAAAATGCATTTCCGGACCTATGTTTATGGGAACTTTTTTCCATAAAATGACCTGAGGAATCACCCTCTCAAATATTGCCGCGTCTTTTTTAAACACCCTGTACATATATCAGGGTTAAAACATTTAAACCCGCCTTTCCATTTTTTTTTTTAATGAATGCTCCTAGTTCCTCATAAAAATCCCAACAACTCTTATTAACAGGTATATAAGGTGAAAAGCACTTTCGTTGGATAACCCTGTACATAAGTGCATCGTCTTTTATTTTATTAAGTACCTAACTAGTTTGTCAGCCTGCAGGTACAATACCTAAGTATATGTTTTTAAGTAAATCCTCTTTTTTAATAATTATTGCAAAAGATAATAACACAAATTCTTTGCTCGAGTTATTTCTAGAAAATGATTATCAAATCGCTTGGGGGGGTATTATCAGCTTCTCAAGTTTTGCAAAAGAAACAAAAACATAATCATATCTCAAAAGATAAAGGCAAATAAAGTGTTTTTCCTTTTACATCCAGAGTGGATAAATAAATAGTTTATCGCTAGGAAATTTATTTTAATGGGGACCCCCAATGAAATGATCAGCTTTTAATTATCATGTTATGAGATAAAAATAAACACGTACAAGATTTTAAACAAAATAAACTTTATTTATTTAACATTTTGTATATAAAAATTCAAAAAAAAAAACAAGACATAAAGGGATCACAAACTATAATAGTCAATAATTAATAATTACAATCTTGTTAAAATTTATTTACAATTAGTTGTTAGTTTTTTTTTCAGCTGTCTCCTTATTTTTTTAATTTGTATTCTCTGCAAAAACAAATTATTATTTTAGATTTTTCATGGCAAAGAAAAACGATTACCCCAACAGTTGATAGGATGAAGAGACTGATATGGTTCAATATTAATTATTAAAAAAGCAACCAATAGCATGCCTGTATATCACCTACAGGCATATTTTTCATGCACATTTTGACGACTCAGTCTTAAAATTTCGTGTTAACATGTTGGCACATTTGGGTTAGTATTTCTAAATTACTGTCATGCCTCCTAAATCTACACAGTTAGTCCAACAAATGTTATCACACAGAAAATTATAAATCTAAAATTTGCCTTATCTTTAACCATGGCCATCGATGAAGACGTACCATTTCCATCCTTTAAACTTTGCCCAAAAGATCGCGCTTGTACAGGTACAGCTTCCTCTTGTACCCCCGCTTTAAAAACATATTAATCAATAAGAAAATCATTAAAAAAATCGCAATGTATAGGAACATGTAAATGCTAAAATCTAAATTAATAAACCCACCGTGGGCGGCGCTGCTGTTGGCTTCAAGCCCTAAAAAGGCGATTTTCGTATTGGCCCCTAAATAGCGAATATTTTGATTGTTATACATGTGCTTTAAATGTTTAAGCACTTCAGTGTGAAGCCAATCGTCTTGTAGCCGACAAGTTGGACAGGCCATTTCTGAAGGAAATTGAATCTTGGGAAAACTTGGATCTTCACTTGGGTCCCCAGAAAGTCTTTGATTGACTTCATTGTGCGCCATCCAAAGCCACAAGATTGAATCATCAAACGTGGCAACTTTATCGATTTCTCTACGTTTTGCCATGTCTTGGAAGTGCTGGCTGCAATCTGAACAGCCGAAGAAGTTTTTAATGTAGCCGTGCATCGCTTCTAGGGCTAATCGAGGATTGAGGCCTGAATATTCGGCAACGTTTACTGTTAGATAATGGAACATTGTCCATAAACCGCAAGGGTAGCCTCTGTATTGAGGCGAACTGCCTTGACAACCTAGAAATTTTATAATATTAATTTATTAGTTTTAGAAGTAAGTTTAACACACCTACCTAGCCATTTTTGTGGTGTACTAAACACTTGTTTTTCCACCTTTTCCGCCTCTTTGACTAATTTTCCAATTGTCGCACCCTGTATTGTTTCCTCGCTGTTAGCGTAGGTGAGGATTTCTTGTAGCAGGTTTTTACCGTTTTGGTTGAAAGGGAAATATCCCAAAAGGACTTGTAGGTATTTCCTCAAGGCCTTTAGTTTTTCGCCTGAAATTTCTTTGGTACCACCTACTTCGCGTTTTAGGGAGTACCTTAAAAAAAAAATTAGTATTAATGTTAGTCCAAAACAACTTTTTCTATTACTCGACATTGTAATCAACAGTCATAAATTTAAAATGAATTTATTGGTCATGGTACAATATCTTGAAAAAACTAATTTCAAGGGTTTACAATGTAAATATGGTAATTTATTGCAATTGATATTTTTATGGGTTTTGAACTAATATACGAACGAATCGAATTTTTCCAACAGGATGTGTTTTTTTTTTTTTGGCAACACATGATTTTTTACCTCATGAACTGTTTCAAGTATCAACTTGCAATTTGGAGAGAAGTGAAAGGAAAATTTGAAGCATGTTATAGCAAATTTTCAAGTCGTTTGAGTGAAAACTTTAGAAAATATAGCCTGAAATAGTTTAATTATTGGAGGGATTTCTCAATAATTTAAATACAAGGATATAAATTATTTTTTGCTGATGAACAGTTTCAAGTATCAATTTGCAATTTAGTGAGGAGTGAAAGGAAGGTTTGAAGCATGTTATAGTGAATTTATAAATTGTTTAGGGAAAAACATTGGAAAATACAGCCTGAAATAGTTTCATTAATAAAGGAATTTTTCAAAAATGTAGACACAAGGATGTAAATGAGGGGTGAACCAGTAGAGTGAAAAAGTGACGCGATTACAAAAAATGGGGGATTTCACATGATTGCCCGGGATTTCGCATGATTGCGCGGGATTTCGCGCGATTTGGAGGAATTTTGTATGATTTCGCGGGATTTTGTATGATTGCAAAGGGGTTTTCAATATTGCCAAGTGCTATATGTTGGAAATATCGTAGGAAATAACATTTTTGACAATGCTGACGCATGTAAATATTATCACTGATAATTTTTTTATTCTTTGAAGTAAGTACATGAAGATTTAAGTGGCCATCAGTACATCAGTTGGAAGTGATCAAACGGAAAGTGATGATTTTTCAAATTTCTCTAATTATCATTATGAAAATAAAGAATGGGGCACTTTTGACTTTTGAAACATCACTAAGAGTGATATAATCAGTGGTATAAGAAAACCTAAACCCAAGAAATCCACCGGCGAATTGTCCCTTATTGATTTGTTTAGCACAAGAATGTGGAAATATTTTAGAGTGTATTTTTTAGATAATTTTTGGGTTAGTTACAAGGATAACTGAAGAAAAGTTTAAATCGAAGGTGCCGTCGATCTAGAGATTTTCCCACGGTATCGGAAAATTTCCCAGTCTCAGGTTTCACCCCGCAAACCCATGGATCCGCACGATGACGCGGAACGTCGTCGCCGCGAAGCCATATTCGCGGATTCACGCCATGAACCCATGGATCCTGAAATACCTGAGAGGTTATTAAATAAGGGAAAAATATGAGCGATTTTGAGGGATTTCGGGTGATTTCGGTAAGATTTCGGAAAGATTTCGAGAGATTATTCAACGTGACAAGATTTCGGATTTAGAGCGATTTTGAGAGATTTCGGGTAATTTCGAAGGATTTCGGGTGATTTCGAAAGATTTCAGGTGATTTTGAAGGATTTCAGATGATTTCGAACGATTTCGGGTGATTTCACAAATATTTTAATTTGATTTTAGACTGTTAGGTAGGTACTTAAGTATCTTATAAGTATATTCGAAAGTGTATTAGTATAAACTGAAAAATGGCCACGTTGACCGATTTATGAATTTTGGGCCCAATTGCGAGGGATTTTTGGGTCTGCGGAAAGATTTCTGAGGGATTTCGACGGATTTCGGAGTGATTTCGTGTATTTTGGAAGGATTTCGGACGAATTTGTGACACGATTTCAAGGAGTGATTAACCCCTCGGAAATATCATCTTATACAGGGTTTAAAAAAAAAGTGTACCAGTCTTCGAGAAGTTATATACTACTTATGAAAATAAGAAAAAGAGGTCCTATGAACATATGCCCTGAAATGCTCCCTGAAGAAGTTACAGCCCTTCAAACGGTAAATGAAAATATGTAATAGATTTTATTTATTTTCATCTACAATAGTGGCAAACAATTTTTCTTGAAATTTGGTATTCTTGCATACATTTCGATGCAAAAGCGAATGGTGATAGTAAAAAAAGTCGTAACAGTTCTGAAAGGGTAGTTTCCATAAGGGTAGAAAGTAGTGACTCACAAAACAAAAAAGCATCTTAAGGCATATGACATATATGTTTTTTTCTTATTTTGATATGTAGTATCACCCCTCGCAGTCAGGTACATTATTTTTTCTACACCCTGTATAAGAGATGTGCAGAACTATTGGCAGAACCCTTGGCTTATCTTTTTGGCATGTCAGTTGAGCAGGAATGCTTTCTAGATGTGTTAAAATTGTCAACTTTTTCTACAAAGATGCAAAGAATGGCATTCTAAATTATATTTCTGTCAGTTTGTGAAACAGCATGGTTTTATGAAGGATAAATCCACTTAATCAAACCTGTATATACTCGCTGAGCAAATTTCAAAGGCTGTTGAGGCAGGAGGGCAGTTGGATGATCTGTACACGGATTGTGACAAGGCATTTGATAAGGTGAATCACTGTGTTCTCTTAAATGAACTTGTTGAGTTTGGGTTCTCAAGAAAAGCTTGCAATTTGTTGAAATCCTATTCGATGGAGAGAAGAAATAGTGTTAAGATAGGTGATTGTTTCTCTAGTGAATATACATATATTAACCTCAGGGGTCCCACAAGGTAATGAACTTTGCTATTGCTTTTTATATTGTTTATCAAAGAATTGTCTGACTGAGTAAATTCACATATTGGCTTAATATATGCAGACGATTTTAAGCTGTTCAAACTTCAAAACCATATCTGTTAAAAAGGATGTTGTCAAATTGCAAGCTGACTTGAAGTCAATAGTTGGGTGGTTCAAGAATTGTAAAATTTCTCATATGTCAAGAAATGTGCAGTAGTAACATATTTGAAGAGATTTCTCAATGCTAACGCAGGATTTCGCAAAGATTTTGCGGGATTGCGCGTAGATTTCCTGGAGGTTTTGAAGGATTTCGCGAGATTTCTGCTGAATTTGTGACAGTATTGCGCGAAGTGGTTCACCCCTTGGATGTAAATGATTTTTTTACTTATGAACTGTTTCAAGTACAAACTTGCAATTTGGAGAGAAGCGGAATGAAGGTTTGAAGCATGTTATAGCAAATTTTCAAGTTGTTTGAGTGAAAACTTTAGCAAATATAGCCTGAAATACTTTGATTATTGAGGGGATTTTTCAATAATTCAGATACAAGGATGTGAATGATTTTTTGCTGGTGAACGGTTTCAAGTATCAATTTGCAATTTAGAGAGGAGTAGAAGGAAGGTTTGAAGCATGTTATAGCAAATTTTCAAGTTGTTTGAGTGGAAACTTAAGAAAATATAGCCTGAAATAGTTTGATTATTGACAGGATTTTTCAATAATTCAGATACAAGGATGTGAATGATTTTTTGCTGGTGAACAGTTTCAAGTATCAATTTGCAATTTGTAGAGAAATGAAAGGAAGGCTTGAAGCATGCTATAGTACATTTTCAAGTAGTTTGAATAAAACCCAGAATTCCATTCCAGGCTCTTGAATTTTCTTAATTTAAACAAACTTGAATAAAATAGAAATTCAAGAGCCAGGAACAGACAAAAATTGATATAAGCAAATTAAAATTAAAGATTTTGAATTAGATATACCTACCTACATGTGCAAATAATATTTCTACAATAAATCTACATAATACATTTATTATCTTTATAAATGATCATCTTAAAGTGTGTCTGATAACCTTAATACATTATCAAGCCATAGTCAATGCAATAAAATACAAAACTAAAAACTTCATTACTTAGCCTTAATTTACAAAAAAAAAATATTGACAATATCAGCATAATTTTACATTGATATCTGATGCTATACAGGGTGTCCCACAATCAGTGTTACAGGCCATAACTTTCTTATTTTTAGAAATAAAAATTTGAAAAAAAAAATTGACCAATGATTAGTTAAGCTCTCTTCAAAAATATAAAAAAATCTTCCCCTGACAAAATCATCCCCTATTTACAACCCTTCACTTTTTTTTTTTCAAATGGCACCCCTAATTTTTTTTTTTATTTTTGAGAAGTTCATGAAATTGCAAATTCAATGATGTATGAAAAGTTTGATTTTCCATGTTTCCTTGGAAAAAAAAATTCAAAAATTAAAATAATAATAATGGGGTTCTATTTGAAAAAAAAGGCAAAAGTTGTTTTTAGGAGATGAGTTTGTTAGGGAAGATTTTTTTAATATTCTTGAAAAGGGGTTAATTTGCACACAATTAATTTTTTTTTGCCATATTTTTATTTTTGTAGACAAAAATGTGATTGCCTGTATAAGACTAAGGGTGGGACACCCATTTTTTCCCCCAAGAGACATGGAAAAACAAACTTTTTATACACCATACAAATTTGTAATTTCATAAGCTTCTCAAAAATAAAAAAAAAAAAATAATAGGGGTGCCATTTGAAAAAAAAAAGTCAAGGGTTGTAAATAGGGGATGATTTTTTCAGGGGATGATTTTTTTATATTTTTGAAGAGAGCTTAATTAGCCATTAATAATTTTTTTGTTTCAAATTTTTATTTTTGAAAATAAGAAAGTTATGGCCTGTATCACTGATTGTGGGACACCCTGTATATTGAACATCTTCATTGCAGAAAATAAATAAAATATCTGAATAAAATCCTTACCTCAACGCACTCTCCAAATCCATTTGGAACACTGCATCACCCATTCCTTTAACCTTCTCCAAATTTGTCCTTGCATCCCCAATTTGCCCATTTTCCTCTGCTTCAACCTCAATTTGCAAATTGCGCCTAATAGCTTCCTGAAACCCTTTTCTATCGCGACTATTCAGTTTCAAAGCTACAGCTTGTTTGTCTTGCCCTATAACGTACAAACTAGGTATTGTATCTTGTGGCAAATTGCTTAAAAGCTTGGTGTTGTTTGAAATGACATATTTAATATTATTTTTGTGGAAATCCAAAATTAATTCTGGGCCTAATAATGAATCTGGTTCTTGGATTATTAATAAGGTGTTTAGTGGAATGTCATTTAAGTTGTCTGCAATATATGGCTGCAAATTTGGATATTGTTTGCCTCTTCCTTCTCTTAGCTCACTTAGTATTTTTTGGACTAAATCTTGCCTGTGGTCAGTAACAGTGTTGCCTCTATTCATTGCATGTCCGTAGGCTTTAGGAGCCTCAACAAACCCCTCTGGATAATATTTAAGCATAGGATAAGACATAATTTCGTACTCCCTGCACAAGGCATAGTTGTGCTCGTGGGCGCAATTTAGGGCAGCCACAGCAACCAGATCTTGCCAGGTTTTTACGTCTGTGGCGAATTCCTTCCAACCAGGGGCAAATCTTTGGCAAAATCCGCACCAGCTGTTGTAGAATTCTACTAGCCAGGCTTTTTTACTGTTGACGATTGTGCTTTTGAAATTGTCCGCTGTTAGGATTACTACGTGGTCGGTTTCGTTGTAGAGGCCCTCGCTTAAATCTATCGAAGCGTTATTGGAAAGTTGTACGCAAATTAAAGCGATCAAGATGATGTGGAAGATTGGTTGCTGATTCATATTGCGTTTTCCTAGTATTTTTGTAATTGAAACATTATTAATAATTAAGCAAAATAGAAAGTTTTTAAGAACAAAATTAATTTACCAGTGCTTTTAGGTTATGTTTTTCCTTTTGAGATGTTTTTACACAACACAGTCAACCTTCACTTTCCACTATTTCCATTAAACTGTTGTGTTGGAAAATCAAAAATTAAAATTAGTGGAGATGGAAAAATCCCTCAGAATCGGCTAGCTTCATGTTGTATTGTATATTCCTGGCCATTCTTGATTTAGTTATGAAACACTTAGCGCACGGAACAGTTTCCGTCTTTTTTCGTTTTCATGAGAAGAACAAGGATAAAAAAAAAACAATACAGCAGTTACGTCTACTCGAACTTTAACTTTCATAGACGGATCGGTGTCAACGTCAACCTAACCTCAATCATCAAATATTCCTTGTTTGTTTACTTTTTAAATAATTTTTGATTTAAAATTCAAATAATGTCCTCGATTAATTTGTACGACTTTAATAAAATATGCAGGATGTGCCTAAAGGCAGATAATACTTTAATTAATATATTTTTCTCTGATGCTGCCGATGTCATTAGGGCAATTACATCTATTGAGGTAAGAAGCAAAAATATTCAAGAATTATTAACTTATTTTGCATTATAATTTAATAACTTATTTCCGAATAGGTAATTTTGGGCGGTAGATAACTTAATAACCCATAATATACAGGGTGGGCCAATATTAGGCCACTTTAAGGCCGGGACACATCTATCATGCATTCTTCCGATCCGACTCCGATCATACAATGAGGGTCCTTATTCATGGAACAGGGAGCAGAGTTCCCAGGAGAACATGTGTTCTGTCTTTCTCAATGATATGCAACTGATAATATGAGTAACGAAGACGGAACACTTGTTCTCCTGGAAATGTTGCTGCCCTGTTCCAAGAATAAGGACCTTGATTGTATGATCGGAGTCGGATCGGAAAAATGCATGATAGATGTGTCCCGGCCTTTAACATTTTGCAAAAACATATTACCATTTACCATTGTATTATAGTTAGAGATGCACCGAATAGTGGTTTGAGTCACTGGCCGAATACCGGATATTCGGCCGGTCCTAGGCCATGTTTTTTGGCCGAATATTCGGCCATTATTTATTATCAGTGTTGCCAACTCTGAACCAAGAGCTTCCACTAGAAACGATATTTAAATTCACTAGAACCCACTAAAGAAAAAAATATAGTGCTACAAGCAACATTTTTTTTGGACTAGTGGAAAATCTACTGAAATTTTCCCATTGTTTTTAAAATTTTTAGCGCTTTTCTCTGTATCTTTTTATTGTTTAATAACTCCTAAAATATGGATCGACAAAAAGGCACTGGTTCCATAGGTGACGTGGTAATGTGTAACTTGATGACGCATCTGGGGTGCCTTATGGAGATTTGCATTATGTTGAGGCATACAGATGACGTCATAAAAGTTATAAGGCAACCTCGTTTTAAACAACCTTGAACCAAAGTAACCAAATCGGTTGACAGATGGTTACTGAGAATTCTGGTTACTTGGGAAACGCGAATATGAAATAAAAAATATTTGACAGAATTTACAGATAAAACCATTGAGTGAACCGACATTTGATAGCCGGTAACTATTTTGACATTTGGTTAACCAGATTTCAGGAAACCAAGGTCCAAAAGAAAACACTTTTCCAGGAACCAGAGTAATTTGATTACTTTTGGACCGCGAAACCACAACCCTGGTTATATTCGGACCACAGCCACACCCTATAAATTTGAAAGTGACAATGTTAATAGTTAACATAAACCATCTCCTGTGAGTATGGGAAACTTTGGTATTAGTGAGTTCGGCTTGTCAAAACGGAGTTGGAGCGGATAAAGAGCAGTTAGGTGCATAGTCTGTGATCTCGCGAGTCAACTCTTTTCACTCTACTCTACTCTGGCTGTACCTAAACGGTAAGCAGCTTTAAAAAGAAGTGTCGTAAACTAACGAAAGCTAGATATCACTAAAAATTCACTAGAAACCGGGGATTCCATCAAAATTACCACTAAAGTGGAATTTGATAAAACCATTCCACTAGACGGCTTTCAAATCCACTAGAACTAGTGGAAATTCTACCAAGTTGGCAACACTGTTTATTATATTTAGGGCGGGTATTATAAAACTACTTTGAGAGTTAACTTGAAGTTAACTTCTAAAATTACATGTAATTCAAAAAGTTAACTTCAAGTTAACTGTCAAAGCAGTTTTATAATACCCGCCCTTAGTTGATGTGTATTGTTGGTTGCATAAGCATAATTTCTTAGGTTTTAAATAATTCTGTTTTAAAGGTTGAGTTATAGCGATTTCCACTTGTCGAACCAGTGCAAAAAAAATGTATCCATATTCTTACATGTCACATGCTTTTAGAAAAACAAATGGAAATCGCCATTTTAGTTTGCCTCCATATTGGTTTCCAACCATTGCCGACGTCATAACTTAAGTCGTCACCTGTTTAAACAGCCTGCGTCAAGGCGAGAAACGCCATGCTGCTTAAGGGAGGATTTGTTACACACAGGCCTTATGAGGATAGACCATCCTGTAGTAATAGTGTGTATCATCCTTGAGTTTGGGGTTTGCATTGTCATTGTTGATGGTTGGCAATACCCATTTTTTTTCTACGAGCGTGCGTGAAAGTGATTACTTTCCCGCACGAAAAAGTAGAATCCGTGCGGAAAAGTAGAATACCTGAAATGTTTAGGTATACAGGTACTTGCAGGTAAACAGGTATACTACAGGTACAGGTACGAAAAAGTGAACAAAGTTTCTTAAATTGATAAATATGCAGGTAAAAATATTACGTTTTATCTCGTAGAAAAAATAGTGTTCCTAACTCGTGCGGAAAGTCTCTTTTCCGCACATGATTGCTGAGTGTTGTTCGGCAAACTGTAATCGCGTGCGGAAAAGTGGTACTTTCCGCACTAGTTAGGAAATACCGGGTGACAACGAAATCGTTATACAAGGTATCATTCAGTTGTCTTTAACGTTAAAAATTTGAACATTGGGTGGAATGGGTATAAGTCATTGAGACGCACATTTTTCGTAAAAAAAACTACTCCGGAAATGGACCCAAGTCAAGAAATTTTAATGAAACCCTGTATATTTTTTTACACAGTTGGATAGAGCTTAAAATTCCCTTTCCAATGACATATCACAACTTGCATTTGTTTCCAAGATGGCGGCGTAAGAAGGTATTTTTCTTAAATTCAATATGGCGGCATTCTGACGTAACCGATAATGTTTCTGTCAAACAAACACTTTTAACAATCCATAATTTTTAGATTTGAAATGGTTTTAGATCGAATTCGAAAAAAGAAATGATTTTGCTCAAAAACAAGGGCATTTCAAAATTTCTTTGAAATGCAAATTTTAATTTCAAATTTTCTAAAAATTTTGAATAGGAAGAGGTACTTATTAAATTCTAGAATTAAAGTGTGTCTAATGGCCTACCGAAAAATGTCTAACCAAAATGCATATTCATTTTTCGGTTAGGTATTCAAAGGTTAGGTCAGAATGCCGCCATATTGAATTTAAGAAAGTTCCTTCTCACGCCGCCATCTTAAAAACAAATTCCACTTATCATATGTCATTGAAAAGGGAATTTTAAGCTCTATCCAACTGTGAAAAAAAATATACAGGGTTCCATAAAAAAATCTTGACTTGTGTCCATTTCCAAAGCAACCGGAAGTGATATTCAATTATTTTTTTATGAAAAGTGTGCGTCCTAATGAATTACGCGTTCCACGCGATTTTCAAATTTTTAAATTTAAAGACAACTGAATGACGCCTTGTATAACGATTTCGTTGTCACCCGGTATATTATATTCTCATTGATGTGAATTCCCGTGACGACTTGTGTGCACTTGTGTATTTGTGAATAATTGCCGAATATTCGCCGACTAGCTCATCAGTGCTGGCCGAATAATGAATATTCAGTATTCACTCAAAAAAATGCCGAATATTCGGAAATTATTCGGCAAATCGAATACTCAGGGCGTCCTCAATTATTATAGTCATTCTAATAACATCTATGATGCTTTTTTTCATAACAAATTATTAGAAATAAAACTGCGAGGGCAAAAACTGTGACGACAGAACCCCAAAAATGCAAGGATACCAAGAATCCTAAACTCTACAGGATTGCTTAATCGGCTAAATCTGTCCACTAATGCTGCTGTGACGTCACATGCATTTCTTATTGGCGCGTTACTGTTACTATGTAAACGCATGAAAAAGATGGGTAACTTGCAGTGTCTTTCTTGATTTCTGGAATATGATTATGATAATCTAAAGTAGGTATCACTATTTAGCTTTGCGAGATAACTGATAAGCACTTACTTTGCAAATTACATGTCCATATTAAATCGTTTTAGGGCCAAATTAAATTATAGACTGACTGGTAAACATCTGGTTGTTACCTAGCAGGTATACTTTCTATGCACTAGAGAATAGAAAGTACCTGCTAGGTAACAACCAGACACCAGTTGGTCCATAATTTGGCCCTTAGTAAATATGTGAATTTAATGAAATTTAAGCCTCAGTTTGTATATCACTCAAAAACTAACGTTTCTTATTAAAAGTGTCCAAATTGGCCCACCCTGTACACTTTCAATTTTACCTATTTCGCATCCTAATTTTTTTTTGCCCTGTACGACACAATCATAATCATTCGCTACATTGTTGTCAGGTTGCCTTAAATTTCAGCTCAGTGAAGGAGATCCCCTTCCAGAAAACATATGCGTATCATGCATGGACAAAGCATCAGAGTTCTACAAATTCAAAAAGCTCTGCGAAGACAACAACCTCGCTCTTCAATCAATTTTGTTGGGCATCAACGAAAAACCCAATGAAGAAACAAAATTTTCAATAACAAAGAATGAATTAGTAGAACCACACACTGAAAACGAAGAAGACTACATTTTAGAAGAAATAGTTTCCAGCGATCCTTTAGCTGACAAATTCTGGTGCACAATCTGCCAAAAAGAATTTCCAGAAACCCATTTGCAAGCCCACCACACCGACAACCATTTTTGCTACATGTGCAGCAAACAATTTAAAACCGTGCAAAAACTTCAAGCCCACTTAAAATACCACAATCTCTTATTCCAGTGCGATCACTGTGACAAAACCTTCAAAACCAATCGCCAAAAAGTAATGCACACTAGATCACACACTGGCGAATTTCCAGCAAAGTGCGACCAATGTGAAAAGTCTTTCACGGATCCGCGTTATTTGATTGTCCATTTGAAATCACACACTGGAGAAAAACCATTTCAGTGTGACATTTGCAATAAAAGTTTTTCTCACAAGTACACCTTAAATACACATTTGAAAATGCATAATAATTCCCAAAGGGAACATTTGTGTACAACTTGTGGCAAAGCTTTTCGATATGGGCACAATTTGAAAATACATTTAAGAGAACACACTGGAGAAAAGCCTTACAGTTGCAACATTTGTTTGACTAAGTTTGCTTCAAGGTCGATTCTGAACGCTCACATGCTCATTCATTCTGAGCAGAAAAAGTTTGAGTGCGCAATTTGTGGGAAACAGTGCAAACGCTCTGGGGATTTGAACGTGCACATGCGGAGTCACACTGGGGAAAAACCTTATGGTTGCACTTTGTGCGATAATAGGTACAAGATGGCTTCGCATTTGAGAGAACATATGAAAACACATACTGGTGATGATTGGTTTTAGGTTGAGTACAGACCTAAGTTCCAATGTTACTTAAATTAAATTCACTTCACTTTAACACCAAATTTAAAACTTTTCCTGTTGATTTGATTATCAACTACTTACTCCTGTTTCAATCATTAACCAGTTTTTTCTATTATCCAGAAAGGCATTTGAATAACTTCACCTAATTGTCTATTTACATAAATATTTATCCTTTAAGGTTGATTCACACGGCGAAGTCAAAGTTATTGTCGTAGGAATTTGATGGTACCTATTCCCATCTGCCCGACACGCGACCGTAATAGTGCAAACAGTGCTGTCGCCGGTACCGTAACGTGATCGTTATATTAGTTTCTGCCGATATTTTTGGATTTTTACGGCCGTACAAATTGAGTTGGTATATGGTTATCCCGTTTTGTATGACTTGTGCAACTCAAAATACATGGACTCTGATTTCAAGAATGCTATCTGGAGGGTGTCATGCTTTTTCAAAATGAACTTCTATCTTGCACAACAATAGGTTGAATTAATTTTCTGACATCCTAACTTTGCTGCATCGTCTACTAGTTCTTTGTATAATGTTATTAATTCCCCTTCTGTACCTCTCTTTTTCCATGCAGGATTGACCCAGTGTCGTTTTTCTACCTGTTCTTCTTTTTCTTCGTCCAAAACCAGTGCGTTCTGCAAAAGTTCTTCATCTGAAAATATTTCTATTTGGCTATAAACTATACTGACACGGCACTGATGAAACACTGGCCAATATGAATAGAAATCACTGTGAGTTTACGGCCGGTGAAATCACGAGCCGGTTACGACACTGTCACGTCACTGCTATGTGTGAATCAACCTTTAACAGCAATTTTTACCATTCTACAAACCTTTCCCAATTATTTGTTGGCATTGGAACTTGGTCTGTACAATTTCCAACATATTTTTCTTATCTAACATTATTTCAGGTGAGAAAAATTACATATGCGAACTATGTGCCAAACCATTTTACAACAACGTAGCCCTCAGAATACACAAAAACAGCCATTCAAAGGAAAAACTGTACAGCTGCGCTCAATGTCCCAAAACTTTCGTGCACCGCACCTCTTTAATCGCCCACAAAAGGAAATTAAAACACACAAATTAATAAGTAAAAAAAATTTGTTTTTTTATTTAAAACCTAAAATCCCTTAACATCTACCTGTAGTATTGCTGGTTGTTGGGCCACTGAGTTGGGGCAGCATTATAGTCATATTGCTGAGTCATTCTGCCTGGGGCAGAAACTCCAGGAGTTACATATTGAGGTTGAGGAGCGGGTGGAGCTTGAGCCCCATAAGCAGGATAGGTATTAGCAGCTGGACTATACGCTGGAGGTGTAACGTAATATTGAGGCTGAGGTTGAGGAGGTGGTATATGCATGGGAGGCATATTTTGTCCATAATTGGTTTGAGGACCTAAATCAATTACATAAGTAACAATTTTGAAACAATACAAATCATTACCTGGCTGATATTGATTATAATAATTATTCTGTGTTGGAGGGTTTATGACTTCGTGAACAATAGGAGCTGCAGTTTCCTGAATAGGTACTGTAATAAGATTAGTTCTGCTAACACCTGCTGATTGTATTTGTGACGGTCTACGTCCTGTTGAATTGGAACTTGAACGCGGATCGTTGTTTAGGCTTGCTTTTTGGCGCATTGGGGGCCTTTCTTCTGCTACAATCACCTAAAAATCTTGCCTATAAAACAAATAATTATTTATAAGGGCAAATTCCAACCTCCATTGGTTGTGGTAAAGCTGCAGGCTGTTGGATTGCCATGTGACGATGGTTGATGTGCGCTTGCAAGTCTCTCTGAGACAAATAAGTCCTCCTGCATCCGGTTGTCCCATAGCGACTTCCACCGTGGGTGCACATGAAAACAGTACCAAGCCCAGTTTGTTCAACTCTGGTTACTTTTTCCTGGCACCTGGGACATTGTTTTTGTTCCTTTTTGCCGCAGGCCAAACAAAAAACGTGCTTGCAAGGAATCTAAAATGATTGTGTTATTGGATTGCTGGTGAATTGGTTTGTTGTTTACCATTCGGCCGTAAATTAAAATGGGTCTCAGACAAGTGTCGCAGCAATGGATCATGGGGTTTAGGACTTTTTCGCCTATTAAATGGGCTTTGTGGTCCCAGAGCAGTCTGAGCATAAACTCTGGGGGGCCTTTGTTGATTGTTGTGAAAGTTGGTGCTTCTAGTTGGGATATATCTGCTTCTAGGTCAACTGAAATAATGGATTTATGTTGCACACATTTATATAGCACTACTACTTGAAAAACTAGTAAAGATGGTTTTGTAGGTAAAGTTTAGTCAAAGAAAGCAAATTTTCAAATAGGTTGAAAAACTATTTGGTATATTGAATGAGTTCCTTGGTAATTACGAGATTTCTTTTATCTGTGGTACCAGAGTGACTTTGGCAAGTTTTAAAAATTAATATAAGAGAGTTTCTAACAGTTTCAAATGTTAGAACCGTGGTTAGAACCTTCTTACTAAAACGATGAAATTTCAAATTTTTTTTTGTCGAAATTTTGTATCCTTATGGTCAATCAACATACCCCAAACTCCATACACTAAATTATTCTAGGATTTGAAGCCGAAATCTATGAAAAAAGGCACTCAGAAAAATTGAAAAATTGATAAAACACCCCAAATTATTGCTTAACACGATTTTATCTCAGGAACTAGTTGTTCTGGAAATTTTCAGGGATTATAGTCCTTTGGAAGGGATAAAATTCAGTGAAAGTTTCAGCTTTCTATCTATAATAGGAAAAAAGTTATGACCTTTCAAAGTTTTCCAAAATCTAAATCATAAGGTCCTTCTTACTAAAACGATGAAATTTCAATTTTTTTTTTTCAGAGTGATATTTAAAGTTTTTGGATAGTTTTTGAACATACAAAGCTACTCCAAAGTGTTCAGAGTTATTTCAGAATAGAAGTTGTTGTCAAAAAGTAATAATCTAAGATTTTTCAAAGAAAGTTTCTAGATTCATTTTGCATCAATCATCAATTATTATTACTTATTTTATAATTGTCAATTTTTATTTACTCAAGGTCCCAGGCTCTCTGGTATAATCTGAGGTTTGTAAATTGTTCTGAAGCCTTTGAAAATGCTGCTGGAAAGTGTTTTGAAACGTTCTAAATGGCTTATTGGAGCTGTAGTGTTAGCGTGAAAAGGTCTGGAGCATTTTAAAAGTTTTTCAATAAAATCTAAATTGTTCATAAGTTTTTAAGTATTCAAGGGCCGGTTTTATAAAGTTGCCAGTAGGGCGAACTGAAGGTTGAGTTTCAACCAGTGGTTGAATTGAAATGTCCTTTTAAAATCATAGGAAAATGTCAGACCGCTGGTTGAAAGTGAACCTTCGGTTCACCAGCTTTATAATACTGGCTCTGAGAGCCCTATTGAAGCTCCAAAGTGTTCTAAATTGGTTGAAAAGCGTTCTAAAAGGTTCCAGTTCTACATTGAATCCTAGTTGTTCTGGAATGATACTGAAATTTCTAAATTGTTCCAAAATATTCCTGAAAAAGTTCTTCAACAATTTAAATTGGCTTCTGAACGCCAGAGATTCTTCTGAATCTATTCTGAAATGTTTTTGGAAATCGGTTTTTGAATATTTTGGAGCATTCTGAAATGGTTTTGAAGTTTCCAAATTGTCCTGGAATGCTTTTTTGGTCTTCAGACGTTCAAATGTAATGCATACCCAAAAAAGATGCCTAGATCTCTAGATCCTAGACCAAAGTTGAATTGGAGTCCATTTCAAATCTTCCTTGTTCAATCAAGTAGCATATTTAATGAAGTTTCTTACTCTAGGAGAGCCGAGAATAATATTTCAATGTTTCTGTAGTTTTGTCTACCTCAAACTTTCCGGATTTTGAGGCTCATATTTCAACTTTTTCTTTGTATATTTTTATTCAAATTGAATTTAGAAACTTTCTCTAATAATTTTAGATTATTACTTAACAAACACTTTTGAAGTAACTCTGAACATTTTGGAGTTAGCTTCGTATGTTCAGAAATTATCCAAAAACTTTGAATATTATTTTGAGCTCATTGGAGCAACTAGATGCGGAAAACTCTGATTTTGAATGTTTAAAAACTCTATTTGAACACGTGGAAGTAACTTCGAAGGTTCAGGAATTGGCTGCGGATATTAAGAAAATCATACTCAACTATGGTTTTTGATTTGAAATAAATAAACCTCAAAATCCCTTTTAGATTCGTCAAATCCCTAAACCAAAGAACCAATCACGTAATGCTACTAGAATTCGTATTGAATTCAGTTAGTTTGGCATCAGGAACTATTCAGTTGGTTTTGGTGAGTAAAATTAAGCCTTACAGCCTCAAATTATTGCTTAAAATTCCAGGCGAATTCAGCTTCAGGCTTATTATCCGTACTAAGCATAGTCGTTTTAGTTTTGGTCCAAATATTCGTTTTAGCTTGGAGTGCTAACGAAATAAGCATCGCGGTTGGTGTAAAAGGCTTGAAAATTGAATGTTTTAACAGCATTTTTTCAGGGTTTGAGCATTGCAGATGCTGTGGCTGCTAGTAAATGGGAGGAACAAACTAAACAGGTGAAAAGTCTTTTGTTGGTTATGATGATGAGAGCTCAAATTCCTATAGGGCTCACTGCAGGGCCGTTTTTTCAAATGATTACAAATTCAGCCCTAATGGTAAGTATTGTATGTTATGCTAAAATGATTCAGTAGTAATTTGGAAATTTTGTTGCAGACAGTGAAAGTTGCTTATTCTTACATGGCAAACAATTACCAATAATTGTATTTATTGATGGAAACACTTGCAATTTATTGATTATCTGTTTATTACTACAATTAAATTACAATAATTTTACACAAAAATCACTTGGCTAGGATTACAATCTTTTTGTTAAAAATACAAACTTATTATTGACATTTCATTATACTTATCTATACAAATTGATTTTTGATTTTCAATTATTTACATTATTATTAGCGTCGTTATTCCTTTATGGTTTTAATTTACATATTGTCTACCATTTTTGTCATACAATTTACAAATTACGGAAGTAAAAAAACTAACACTAAACCCAGATTAAAATGGAAAATTAATAGAAAAGTGCGCATTAAAAAATTGTATTATTGTTCTATTTTGTTGTAAAAAACCCAAAAAATCAGGTCTATTTTTGTACCGTTTTACTTTTTGAGGGACCTTTTTTTCACTCTAAAGGCGGTTACACACGGACGTGGATGTCTGAAAACATGTACGCACATACCTGAACGTGCATCAATGTGTATGCAAAATATCTTCGCGTTTTTGAATGTGCAATTTTGTATGCACACTCGGAATACTGTAGCAAGAATAGCAAGACTGCAGTTTTGTGCGAGCGTCTGTACAAAAGCGCCATGCACGTTCTTGGTTGCACGTATATGTATTAAGACATCCACATCCGTGTGTAACCGCCCTAAAAAGGCACTCCATTTTCTGGTTTAGAAAGTTGAATTTAAAAAAAATCGAAGATATGAACTTGTACGGGGTGATTCTATTATTAGTGGGATGAAAATTATACTAGAATATTTCACGTCTGGCAACCAATGCGCCCTTTTGGGTTCAGATAGATACATGGATAGACAAGTCTAAAATGCCTGGGACACTTTTCAGGGATTATTAACCTTGAGAGCGAAGAAGGTTCTGTCTCCATCGCCCATATTCATATTTCCAATTTGCTTGAATAATAATAAAAATATAAGCAAAGGTGGGCACAGTTAATCGAAAATTTAACTTCGTTAATCGTTAATTCGCTACTTCAAAAGTTAACTTCGATAATCGTTAAATTTTTGAGAATATAACGCAAGTTAAAGTTATTCGTTAAAAGTTAATCATCGAAAAGTAATACTGATGTTTGAAGATAATTATAGATACCTAATCGAAATAAAATAGGCTGGGCTAGGGTATAGTATTTTTAATACCTATTTGGAAGTACCAGTTGTTTTAGTGATTTGTGATTGGTTGGTAACATTGATGTTGGTAATTTTTTGTTTCATCTGATTCATGATTGATGAGCAAAGATGGTGTTATTCCGAATGGATATTAAAAATACTATACCTATTATCTATTCACAATCCGATGTCCAAAGGTAAAGGTAGAATTTATCACCTTTCAGTGCTATTTGATAGGGAAAGGTGATAAATTTACCTTTACCTTTGGACTACGGATTGTGCATAGAATATACACTTCATAGGATTCACATTAATGAAACAAAAAGTATCTAGATCTAAAAAGCGGCACTATTTCCAATTCAGGTAGATGATTTATTTTCCATTCACCTCTGCAAGAAAAAGGAGCAATGCAGACAACGCTACAGCCCATTGCCCAACGATACGCCTCAGCTCTCAGCCTACCTAACAACAGAACTAAGGGCTTGCGCATCGATCTCACTGTACGGAATCAGGTTTGGAGTCATTCCAAAAGAGTTCCAAACTGCGTAGTGTAGCGAACTGAAATCTTTCTACGCCTGTGCGAACTGTCTTGATTGACCTTGACGCGCAATTCAAGCACACAAAATGACGTCATTTACGAACATAACGGACTAAAGTTAACGGAAGTCCAATGTAACGGAAGTTAAGAAAACTGTTAATATTTTTTTAGGTTAACTTGAAAGTTAAAATTAAGCAATTTTTTTAACTTCATTAATTGACGTGTCTCGTAATACCTGGTGTGCGCGCGTAACTCGTGGGTTGCAGGTGAGCGTCCAATGAAAATTGAGTTTTTTACAGGCTTGCGTCATATTCGTATTCAGGGACGAGTTCAGAATTAATCGTTCCTTCTTTCTTTGTAACGTGTAATTCGACAAAGAGCAAATTTACGACGGCTCTGAACGGCCACTGTATTTTTTTTAGTAAGTGTAAATTGACAGATACTAAGTGTAAATTGACAGATACTAAGTGTAAATTGACAGATACTAAGTGTAACTGTAAATTGACAGATACTAAGTGTAAATTTACAGATACTAAGTATAAATTTACAGATAGTATGTGTAAATTTACACTTAGTATATCTGTCAATTTACACTTAGTATCTGTCAATTACACTTATTATGCGTATTTTTTTTTTGCTTCTTCCATTCTGTGTTCGTGTTCATCGCTAATCGTCAGCGAGCGTCTACTTTACGTTTCGGAAAGCCAATTTGCATTTTTTCTCTTAACTTAGTGTCAATAGAGAGTGTGATAAAGTTATTGTATTTACGACTTTTTTGTCTACCAGAAATCGCGCTGGAAAATGAAAATGAGGTGATTGAATTCTATTTTCACCTGGGTTTGCGCCAAAAGGAAATTTTGTGTTTTTTGTTAACCCAGCACGATGCCGTTATGAGTGAATGGACTCTTAGAAGACGACTTAAAGCTTTGAACTTGTTTCAGTTCGGTACAGGAAATCGTTGCTTTGATAAGAGCTGAAATTGCGAAATCTGGGCAGCTTCACGGATACAGGTGGATGCACCTGAAATGTTTGCAGGCTGGATATGTTGTCCGTCAAGTGACTGTAAGGCGCCTATTAAAGATGCTTGATCCCATTGGTGTAAATATGAGAAAACGGAGAAGACTTAGGCGCAGGCGATATTTTAATAAAGGGCCAAATTATCTGTGGCACATCGATTCGTATGATAAGTTGAAACCATATGGAATAGCAATTAATGGCTGTATAGATGGATTTTCACGCCACGTTATGTGGCTCAGAGCTGGAAAGACTGCTAGCGATCCTAGAGTAATTGCTGGTTACTTCATAACTACCATAGATGAATGTGAAGGATATTATTCGTATAGATATGGGCACGGAAAACAGGCACGTAGAGCAAATGCAAATATTTTTTAGAAGAAACGACAATGAACACAATATCCCAGCATTTTTGTATGGCACCAGCACAGCTAACCAAAAAATTAAATGTTGGTGGGCAACTTTAAGGCAGCACAATACAGAGTTTTTGATAAATTTATTTAGAAAAATTAAAGATGATGGGTATTTCAATGGATCATATTTGGACAAATCTTTGATTCAATATTGTTTTCTGCGAATTATACAGGTAGGTATAGGTACATTTAGCTACGCATAACGTCTTTTTTCTATTTTGGTGTCATATCGAAGTCTTTTCGACACTAAAAGTAGTTTCGAAAAGAAGCTCTTTGTGACATTCCTTTTTTACTTATCGGAGGTTGGTTACACTGGCTGACTGATGGCCATCGAACTGTCATTCACGATTTTAAAATAGGAGATTTCTATATTTGGTTACCAACCTAAACTTATGAAATCAGGAAATATGAAAATAAAATTTCCATGATTTTATTTAATTTTTTAATTTATCAATACCAAAATAGAAAAAATAGTAAAAAATATTCGTTTCATAAGACATTTTATCGCACTCGCCCTTTAGAAAACTCGCCTCCGGCTCGTTTTCTAATATAGGGCTCGTGCGATAAAATTACGTCTTATGAAACTTGTATTTTAATGTACTATTTTCTACAAACGTCACTAAAAGTGTAATTTTTAATGAATGCTGTCAGCGTCTAAAATGCCATTTTATGACACTGGTTACTGGTTACTTTCAGCACTGAGTGCTAAAAGTAATCACTTTTAGTGCGTTTGTAGAAAAAATAGTGTATGATATTCGTGCTAAAAGTGATTTTATTTTGTTCAAAGGGATGGAACACTCCGTCTTCGGCGTCGTGTTTCAAACTTCCCTTTTCACAAAATAAAATGTCACTTTTAGCACTTATATATAACTATTTTTTACACACGTATGTGTTTTCAGAATGAATTGAAGAAAATCGTCCTGGAATGGAATTGTCATTCGATAACTGCTTCACGAAACAGCATTCTTCCTCGTGGTAGACCACTGCTTATGTATAACATACCGGAACTTTACAAAGCAAGAAATTTTCTTCAAACAATTTCCCAAGAGGAATTAGAAATATCCAAAGAAGAGTGTATATTTGCCAATCAACAATTTCCATGTGATGAAGATATCTATGAGCTTTGTGAGATTATTCGTGAGGAAGAGGGGTTACGTTCAACAGATGATCCATATAAAGCCGTCGACTTGTATTTTTTTTTTACGTAGCAAATTATTAGATTTATTATAAAAATAAATAGGGCATCCCATTCGAAAAAAGCTGAAAGCAAGCAACATTTCACATTTCTGACATTCAATTTTTGTTTTTGACCATGGATTCTAATAATGTTGCCAAAACTGTACAACTTTGTTTCGTAGAATCCAGCCACTGTGGACCATTCACCAAGTCAAGTCCGAAACGTTATGGAAGCACTCGCTGTAGAACACCAAATGAAAAAACCAAAAGAAATTTACATTTAAGTGTAAATTGACCGATGGTAAGGGTACATTGACAGATACTAAGTGTAAATTGACAGATACCAAGTGTAAATATGCACATACTATCTGTAAATTTACACTTAGTATCTGTCAATTTAAACTTTTTAAAAAAAATACAGTGGCCGTTCAGAGCCGTCGTACAAATCAATACTTTACGTATTACTTGAACTTATCCTAGTGTCGTTTAAGGTTATGTTAGATTGTGTGTTGTTGCCGGATGGAACATTTATCATAATAAAAGTGCAAACGATGTTAACATACACTTCAAAGCTCTTCTTTTGTCTGATTTAAAGCGTTGTAAACCACTTGACAATATATCACTTCTTTGATGTTACAATGTTTGATCTGTTTTGTCTACATTTGTTCTGCAACAATACAATCTGGCTACACTGCAGCCACGGGCTGCGCGCGCATGTCATTTTTTATTACTTTCTAAGGTGTACTTATTACAATTAAGCTCTCTTTTTCTGTTTCTGCGAGACACGTCAATTAACGGATTAACGGTTTTCTGCCCAGCTTTGAATATAAGTAATTATTCATAACTACGAGCACAACTATGTCAGAATTGAGATAAATGAGATTTTTTTTAATATTTGATTTCTCTAGCCCAAATTACCATTTGGAAACGATGTTAGGGTTGTTTCCCACTAAATTGGGCAATGCAATCGCATGTGGAAAAGTGGCACTTTCTGCACTAGTTAAGAAATATAGGTACAAGTAAATTGTATGCTTACTCAATGGTGCTACAACAGCTTCAGGAGTCTCAGGCTCGGGCTGAGTCTTCTGAGCCTCTTCAGTAGGAGTTTCCACTTCTTCGTCGCTCTCGATTATTTTCACAACTTTCTTACCTCTACCGCGGCCCCTGCCTCTACCTCTACCGCGTCCCCTACCACCACGGCCTCTGCCCCGGCCCCTTTTAGGAGCACCATCCATTTATTTACCTTTTTTTTAGGAAAACCAAACACAAACAAAATTGTGAGGTTATGTTGACATAATTTGATACCATCAAATTTGTTGAAGACCATGTCTATCTTTGTTTAGCTTATCATAAATGACAAAGACCAACATATACTTCGATGAAATAATAGTTGTTGACTTTGACAAATTGTGTCGTGTCAAATCAAAATGGTATAATTTTGTGATGATTATTTAAAAAAATTAAATTCGAAAATAAACCCATAAAAACGATGTGTTGAAGCTCGAAAACTACAAAGACCAGTAAGTGAAACCACCCAAAATGGAACGGCGACAATTTGTAGCGTTTACGACGATTTGTTTCGTCCTATTTTGGAACATTGCCTCGTTGCAAAATACTGCAGTGGTGGACCTCCAGACAAACGAAACCAGCTTCAAGGGGCTCAACTTGTCCGCTCTCCACTCATTGCAAAACACCTCCCAACCTCCTACCAACCTTACTGAAGCCCTACCAACAACCCAGTCTACAGTAAACTTAACTCAACCATCTACAGTAGCCTCTTCTGTTGTTGAAATTAAAGCAGTAGACATTATTAATGCCACAACAAGCAATGAAACCAGCAAAATTAATGTAAGCTCCACCACTCAATCTGTTGATCCAGTATTGCCAGACAAAGAATCAGCAGAAGCTGAGCACAACAGCTCAATGGCAATTTTTTTCGTCTTGTGCGTATTGGCCATAGGTATAATGCTGATTCATTTAATGCTACAAACAGGCTTTCAGTATGTACCAGAAAGCATTGTAATAGTGTTTTTGGGGGCCCTCATTGGGTTCACAATGAGTGCCCTTTCAAATAGAAACATCAGTAACTGGAGGAAAGAGGAAGCATTTTCACCTACAGCATTTTTCCTTATTTTACTACCCCCAATTATATTTGAATCTGGCTATAACTTGCACAAAGGCAACTTTTTCCAAAACATTGGCTCCATTTTAGTGTTTGCTATAGTTGGCACGACAATTTCAGCTTTTGTGATTGGATTTGGGATTTATTTCTTGGGTCTAGCTGAAGTTGTTTATAAGCTTAGCTTTGTAGAGTCTTTTGCTTTTGGTTCATTGATTTCTGCTGTTGATCCAGTGGCAACTGTAGCAATATTTCATGCCTTGAATGTGGATCCTGTATTGAACATGTTGGTTTTCGGGGAGAGTATTTTGAATGATGCTATTGCCATTGTGCTTACAACTGCAGCTTTGGAATCGAATAATCCTCTAATGAGTACTGGGGAGGCTATTATTTTGGGGATACAAAATTTCTGTTTGATGTTTTTTGCTTCAGCTGGTATTGGAGTGATTTTTGCACTAATAAGTGCTTTATTATTGAAGCATGTTGACCTTAGAAAAAATCCGTCCTTGGAATTTGGTATGATGCTGGTTTTCACCTATGCCCCTTATGTATTAGCTGAAGGCATTCATTTATCTGGCATAATGGCTATTTTATTTTGTGGCATTGTAATGTCGCATTATGCTCACTTCAATTTATCCACTGTTACCCAAATAACTATGCAGCAAACTTTGAGGACTTTGGCTTTTATTGCAGAGACTTGCGTTTTTGCCTATTTAGGCTTGGCCTTGTTTAGCTTCAAGCACCGTGTAGAGCCTGCTCTGATCATTTGGAGCATCATTCTTTGTCTCATTGGCAGAGCTTGTAATATATTTCCTCTGGCAATATTAGTAAATAGATTCAGGGAGCATCAAATTACAAGAAAAATGATGTTTATTATGTGGTTTAGTGGTTTAAGAGGAGCTATTTCTTATGCTTTGTCTTTGCATTTGAACTTCAGTGATGAAACTAGGCACGTTATTATTACAACTACGTTAATTATTGTGCTGTTCACTACACTGTTTTTTGGCGGGTCTACAATGCCTTTGCTGAAGCTGATGCAAGCCACAATTAAAACTAAAAATCCTGCCAGGAGGTTGAAGAAAAGGAAGAAGGATAGGGAGGTGACGCTGAGCAAGACTAGAGAGTGGGGACAGGCGTTGGATTCAGAACATTTGTCTGAAACTACTGAAGGCGAAATGGAGGTTTCTTTTGTGTCGGATAGGATCAAAGGCTTTGCCAAGTATGATTTGAAGTATTTCATACCTTTTTTTACTAGGAGGTTTACACAACAGGTGAGTGTACATTTGACTTTCTAATATCTCATTTAAAAAAAGCTCAACAAGGTGAAATTGTCTCCCATATGAATGTACTTACATATAATGAAAATATGGAAATTTAGATTATTCTACAATGTCTCAAGATCTTTCTGGAATATTCCAACTATCTATATAACTTTCTAATAATTGTGGGTTGTCTAGAATAGCTTATTGAACAAAAATTCATAAAATTTTCTTGGGAAATCTTACTCATATGATTGTGCAATGAAAGTATGGAAATCTACAATATTCTAGGATGTTTCAAGATCATTCTGGAATATTCCATTTACCTATGTTTATATTTTTCCAATACTTCTGGGTTGTCTAGAATAGCTTATTGAATAAAAATTCTCAAGAACTTCTTAGAAAATTTTACTCATATGAATGTGCAATGAAATTATGGAAATCTGGAATATTCCAGGATGTCTCAAGATCATTCTGAAATATGCCAACTATGTATCTACCTATACCGGTCTGGCAAGTGAACATCTTGCAGGCCAATTTCAATGCAATAGAATGAAAGATCTAAAAAAAGTCTAAGGTTAAATAAAGAACGAAAACGATTTTCCCTGTTCTACCTCCAGCATTCCCATTGCTCCATGCTGGAGGTGGAACAAGGGAAATTTTGGGAAAATTTACTCATATGAAGGTGCAATGAAAATATCAAAATCTAGAATATTCTAGGATGTCTCAAAGTCTCAAGATCTTTCTGGAATATTCCATTTTTGTATAATACCTTTCCAATATTTCTGGATTGTCCAAAATAGCTTGATGAACAAAAATTCACAAGATTTTCTTAGGAAATTCTACTTATACGAATGTGCAATAAAAGTATAGAAATCTAGAATATTCTAGGATGTCTGGGATCATTCTGGAATATTCCAATCCAGGGGTAAACTACCATCCCAGAATTTGTGCAAACAATTCCTCAAAGGGGATTTTTTTTTGCATAATTCCTCAAAATTCCTGCAAATTCCTCTAAATTCCCCACAAATTCCTCCAAATACCCCACCACAAGTTTCTCCAAATATCAAACAAATTCTTCTAAATTCCCTACAAATTCCTTAAATATCCCCATAATTGCTCGTGATAAGAAATTAAAAAAAAAAAATGAAACTTTTTGCATGTAAAAAGGAAGCTGAGAAGCTCATTTTCTCAAAATTTCAAATTTCACCAGTGGAAAATAACATGAGGAATATTGGAAATCAACCTACAACGAGACCTACAATAACTGAATTAATTGAAAATACAGTCTCACATATTTCAAAACTTTCCTGGAAAACTAGTGAAAGGAAAAATTTGAAAATTTTGTATGTGAAGAGGAAGGTTAGAGGCTCATTTTTCCGTAATTATAATCTTTTCCCAACATGAAGAATCTTGGAAATTAACTTACAAAACTAAACTAATCGAAAATACAGTTTCACACATTTCAAAGCTTTCCTGGAATACTAGTGAAGGGAAAATTTTGAAACTTTTTGCATGTAAAGAGGAAGGTGAGAAGCTCATTTTCTCAAAATTTCAAATTTTTCCAATGGAAAAGAACAACATGAAAAATTTGGGAAATAAACTTACAAAAACTGAAGTAGTTGAAAATACTGTCACACACATTTCAATGTTTTCCTGGAAAACTAGTGAAAGGAAAAATTTGCAAGAAAAGAGGAAGATTAGATGCTCATTTTTTCAGAATTTCAAATTTTTCAAGTGGATAATAACAACATGAGAAATCTTGGAAATCAACCTACAATAACTGAATTAATTGAAAATACAGTCACACACATTTCAAATTTTTCCTGGAAAACTAGTGAAGGAAAAAAATTTGAAACTTTTTGCATGTGAAGAGGAAGCTGAGAAGCTCATTTTCTCAAAATTTCAAATTTTTCCAGTGGAAAATAGCAACATAAAAAATCTTGAAAATCAACTTACAAAAACTGAAATAATTGTTAATACAGTGTCACACAATTCAAAGTTTTCCTGGAAAACAAAGTGAAGGAAAATTTTGAAACTTTTCACATGTGAAGAGAAAGGTCAGAGGCTCATTTTCCCAAAATTTCAAATTTTTCCAGTGGAAAATAACAACCTGAAGAATCCTGAAAATCAACCTTCAATAACTGAATTAATTAAAAATACAGTTTCACACATTTTAAAGTTTTTCTGGAAAACTAGTAAAGGGGAAATTCTGGAATTTTTTGCATGTGAAGAAGAAGGTGGGAAGTTTATTTTCCCAAAATTTCAAATTTTTTCAGTGGAAAATAACAACATGAAGAATCTTGGAAATCAATTTACAAAAACTGAATTAGTTGAAAATACTGTCTCATACATTTCAAAGTTATTCTGGAAAACTAGTGAACGGAAAAATTTGAAACTTTTTGGATGTGAAGAGGAAGGTGAGAAGCTCATTTTCCCAAAATTTCAAATTTTTTCAGGGGAAAATAACAACATGAAGAATCTTAGAAATCAGCCTTCAAAAACTGTACTCATTATTGTTTTGACCTGTAAATCATGAAGTGAAATTTTGGAAGAATTTCTGTAATGAAAATGAATGTCCATCTTTCAACACAAAACTAGATTTATTTTAAAATTTCCATTTATTAGTGTTTCTTATAATAAGAATGTGAACCTCAGTGACGTCATGACTCTACAATTTCCTTTAAATTCCTCACAAATTCCTCCAAATTCCCCATAAATTTCTCCGAATTTCCTATAAACTCCCCAAATTCTCGTAAATTCCAATGAGTTCCTTCAAATTTTCCACAAATTCCTCTAAATTCCCCACATTTTTTGGCAAAGAATTGCTAGGTGGTTTTTCCCTTGATTCCATCTATCTATATACCTACCCGAGTACCTACCTTTCCAATATCAAGATCTATTTGAAATACTCCAACTATACGAGAGCCAGGAATAGAAAAAAATTGAGAAATAGAGAGATAAAATTCAGGAAAAACCAAGGAAAAATTTGTATGTAAGAGGACGTTAATGTTTTCTCTCTGCAGGCAGGCACTTGATTCTTTCTTATTTCAACTTGAAATAACATGAAAAATTTACAAGAGCCAAGAATAGTCAAAAATTGAGAAACAAGCTCTTGAATTTTCTCTGTTCAGAGAAAAACGAAAAATTGAGAAATAGAGCTAATAGATTCAAGAAAAAATTTGTTTGAAGAGGACATTCATGTTTTTTCTATTTCAGGCTTTTGAATGTTCTTTATTTCAACAAATTGAGAAAGACACTCTTGAATTTTCTCTAGCTAGAGAAAAACGAAAATTCAAGAGCCGGGAATAGATAAAAATTGAGAAATAGAAGCTTAGAAATTCAAGAAAAATGTGGTACACAAATAGACACACAATATTTTATTTCTTTAAGGTAGTTCCTGAAAAAAATTAAAAATCATCAAAGTGTTGACTTGCTGACAATTAGTGGCAACACTGTCACATTGAATGAATAGTTTTCTAACCTCACATTTTTATTTTCATTCAAGTATTATAATATTTTCAATAAATTCAAAATAATGCAATCCTCCCTTACAATTCACCCTTCAAATGCCAAAATTCTAGCTCTAAACAATTTCGCCTCTTGCCTGTACCTGCCTCTAATCCTATTTTGGCTATACATGACCAACTCCCTTTACAATATAGGGCACTTTAAAAACACCCATTTGCAATGGATTTTAATGTCTGGTGAAATTCTTAAGTATATTTTATTTATGCAGTATTCAACATCGAGGCAAGACAGTAAGAAATTCAAATTACAAACTCTTATTAAAGCTGCCTTGACTATGCTAGGCATTGTGGCAAGTTTTCACTTAATTGCTGTGTTATTTGGGGCCCCATTTTTCTCAAAACAACAAGAAACCTTCACCTTTGCTTTGACCATGTTTATTCTAACAGCATTTCCTTGTTGCTTGTTTTTGGGCTCGGACAAAAGCGTTCAATTGATGCTGTCGTTGACTTCTATACCAACAAATGACTGGCATTTTTTGGTTAACATTCAAATAACTTGTTTGATGGCTTGGTTGGGCGCAATTGTAGTGCCTTTAGATTGGAACAAGCCGTATCAAGTTTGGCCTATACCCTGTATCCTAGGGGCATTATTAGGGGCCTTTATTAGTAATCTAGTTTTATTAATAATGTATTTGTTGCAACTTCGATTGAAAAAGAAACATTTAAAAGTAGAATGTTAATAATAATATGGTAATTATTGGGTTGTTTTTTTTTTTTCGGTAGTAAATATAATTTTGGTTTTTGCAGGAGCTGAAAGATTGCAAAAGCCAGATGACAGATTTAACAAACCAATGGTATCAAGCTATTCGAATATCGCCTGACCAATCTGATGAGGAAACTGGATCAGCTGGACGATCTAGTAGTATAGCCAGTATTGTTCGCTGACCGTATTTAAATGTAGAAAAGCTTCCTTTATTAAATTAAGTCATTTCAATAAAGAAAATATTGTTTGTTTAAAGCCAAATAGAAATATTGTGTATTAATGTTATTTTTTGTTTGGAATTATTTGTTTGTGATAATAATTACCTACTTCACAGTAATTTAATTATTGTGATCTGTACTTACCTGTTATGTAAATATACGTAATTATTTGTTTTGTGGTCTTTTACAAAAATTTTTATTTATTAATTTACTTTAGGGAATATGAAGGCAAAGTGGAAAGGGATTATTTGTGATATATGAAAATTTTGTTTGTTGAAGTTATTGCTTTGGATAAATAAATATTCATAATGCAATTATTTTGAGGATTATTTCCACTCCTACATAATATTCACTGAGATATTCACCAAAACCAATACTTATAATATACCCTTATCAAACCATAGCAGCTTTAATTTGTATTTACAAACTTGAACGGTTGCAACACTGTTAATAACTTTTTCACAATTTCTGGATATTTCTTGATAGATAAGATCAACATCTACAGTGTTTAAATTCCAGTTACAATTTAGCATATTTGTTTTAACCATATTTAAATTAGATTCACTAATATTTCTATACTTTTTTATTACATACTTTTGTACAAAAAAGATTTACACTCAATCAATAACGAATGATCAGCTATTTTTGGAACTTCGTGAACCTCCACAAGTAGGTACCATCGTCACCAAAACTAACTGGGACAGTATCACATTGGCTCTTGTCCTATTATATGAATTTTATTGTCAAATATTTGTCAAACTATGTAATGCATTGAAATGAATGACAGTAGAATTAGTCCAGGAGATTATTATGCATTTTTTGTGTCCCAGTTACTTTTGGTGACGATGGTACATTATCTTGGTTTGTTAAAACATAATCCACCAAAGTTGCCCTATTAACTTTCACTCATGTATGCTTTGAAACAAGCTGAGTTATACCATACGTAGAAAAAAGACATTCAATTTTGTTACTATAAAAGCCAGACTCCAAGAAATTTATATTAAAATCACCAACAAGCACACATTTATTGCTATTCTCAAAGATATTATCAAAAATACCTCGATAAATTTTGCATTAGAACTGGATGGGGAATGATATAGGCATCCAATAACCCATACTGATGAGAACATACCTATTTACTTTCATATGAAACATAACACCAGTAATTATCCTTTAAATTAATTTTTTTTACAAGAATAATTATATGTAGGTACTAGTTTGGTGAAGTAACCTTACTAAGTAATTCCTGTTGAAAGGCGAATTGACAAAAAGTGGACAATCTTACAAATTCTGTCTTTATATAATAAGTTATTTTTCAAGTACAAATAAGTGGATTGTTATGGAAGTTAACAAGCAAAAACCGTGGCTGACTAAAGAAGTATTTAAAGAGATCCAGCTAAAAAGAAATATGTGGCATAAATATAAAATATCCAAAACTGAAGATAACTATCAGAGGTATCAACAACAAAACTAAAGTGTGCATAGTGAGGGCAAGAAAAACTTATGAACATAATCTACTAACAAACGACAAACAATTATATGCATACATAACTCGCACCCTCAACTCCAAGCATAAAAACTTTAACATAGTTGATAGGGCAACCCAATAACCATTTGAGACAAACCAACAAATTGCAGAATGCTTTGCAGAGCAATTTGAAAGCGTATACACATTACTGGATCAGAACACAAATAAACCCACACTTCCCTTGGAAACCTACTCCAGGATTGAAATTACCAACATCATATTCACAGCAGAAAAAGTAGAAACCGCAATCACATCGCTAAAACCAAACTCTAGTCCAGGGCCTGATGAGATCACACCAGTTTTTCTCAAGAACTGTGAACAGGTGCTAAAAGAGCCTTTGTCTCACTTGCCTAACACCATAATGAGCACAGGAGATTTCCCTTTAGCCTGGAAGAGGGCTGTAGTAACACCAATATACAAGAAAGGAAACAAACAGCATGCAGAAAATTATAGACCAATACAGTCTAACAAGTGCACTATGTAAATGCATGGAAAAAATAGTAGCCAAAGAATTCACTTATTTTCTGCTTGAAAATGTTTTACCTGCTGAACAACGTGGCTTTCTCCCAGGAAAATCAACATTAACAAACCTGCTAAACAGACTAAATGAGCGGACCCTGGCTGATGACAACCATGAACCAATTGATGTCATTTACCTTGATTTTGGAAAAGTATTCGACAAGGTGCCAACAGAATTTTTGATTTATAAATTGGAACATTTTAGAGTTAGAGGTAAACTTCTGAGGTTGTTGGAAGGCTTTCTCACTGTACGTACCTTCTAAGTACGTGTGGATTCCTCACTTTCAAAGGAACACAAAGTACACAGCGGTGTTCCTCAGAGGTCAGTCCTTGGCCCGCTGCTGTTTATAACTTACATAAGTGATCTCTATCAAGGGCTTCACACGAATAATGCGGCATTTGCTGATGATGGAAACCTATACACAAATCCGCTGCTACATCAGGTTGAAATACAAATGGACCTTAACAACATTAAAGCTTGGACACATAAGTGGGGGATGCCCCTGAATGATTTCAAATGCACTGTCCTTCATATTGGTCAAAACAATCTCAATTTCAACTATTTCTTTGAACAAATGGAAATAACACCAGTAACGAAACAACGAGACTTAGGAGTCACTTTAACATATGACCTGAGACGGGATACACATATCACACAAATGTCCAAAAAGGCTAATTCAATGATCTACCTTATTCAGACAGCCTTTAAAGACTTATCAAAGGAAAATGATCTTGAAACTTTACAAGTCGCATGTAAGACCAAAACTTGAATACGCCCAAACGATCGGCAACTATATAATAATTAGGTGCTAATTAGGGCCCCTAAATACTAATTAAAAATTAGGTGCTCCTCTAGTTTTTGAGAAAATCAAAAAAAAACTAAGGGATTGCTAAGTTTATGAAATCTACTAGTCCCCTATAGTAGTATAGTATATTTCCTAACTAGTGCGGAAAGTGCCACTTTTCCGCACGCGATTGCAGTTTGCCGAACGACGCGTAGCGGAGTTCGGCAAGCAATCAAGTGAGGGAAAGAGACTTTCCGCACGAGTTAGGAACACTATTTTTTCTACGAGATAGAAGGAACGTACCTTCGTAATGTAAATTTTAACACCAATATTCGATAACATTTCTTTTGCAATACCTGGTGGTATTAAAAAACAAATCCAGTAATTTTTTCTTAATATAAATTAGGTACTCTTACAAATAAAACTCATTTATTTATTAATAAAAATAGTATATTGTTGTATTAGGAGTAGAAGCTTTACTTTTTTGTGCTGAAGCAGTAGGTTTGCGAGCCGAACGTAGTGAGGCTTGCAATACTGCTGAAGCACAAAAAAGTGCTTCTACTCCGTATGCAACACGCTATTTTTTCTCCAAACGAATGGGATAAGCTCGGGGGCAAGTGGATGGAAATACACAACTACAAAAACTTCAACTGGACACTATACAAACAACTTTTGAACAACATCACTACAATCCCCACCCCCATAACTACAATTCCCGAACTTGAGCGGCAAGTAACACTAATCACACACAACATTACGCAAGTCAGAGATCAGCTAGCTCCAAAAATCACCCGCAAATCAAGAGCGGACATCATCCCAGACTCCGTTGTTGAGCTCATCAAGGAGAGGAATAGGGTCAAGCGTGCATGGCAAAGGCGCCCAAACTTACTGGACAAACAGTTACTTAACCTACTCAGCCGGGAGATAGAAAGGGGCATACGTCATCACAGGAACACGTCCTGGATGAGGTATGTGTCCTCCCTGGAGACCCAAGACAACTCCCTGTGGAAGCTGGCCAAAAATCTTCGAGGATCAGGCACGACACAGTCGGACCTGGTTGTCGATGGCGTCAGCTACTACAGGGAACAGGACAAAGCGAACATATTCGCTGACCACTTCGCTAGGGTGTACAGCGAAACACCCGACATAACAAGAACACACACACACATCAACGACATAGCCGACGCCTTTGCCGTGCGCAAATATCCTATCCCTCCGGGAGTTCACCAACGGTTGCTGGCCACGCCTACCGAGCTAGCTGACGAACTGAAAAAACTCAAAAACAGGAAAGCACCCGGACCCGACACAATCACAAATCAACTGATCGCAAGAACCTCCCCCGAAAGACTATTATGCATCTCCTGCAAATCGTCAACGCAGTCTTAACCCTACAGCACTTTCCACAACCCTGGAAGCAGGCGAGTATAATAGTCTTCCCAAAACCCGGCAAAGACTTATCCCAACCACAGTCCTTTAGACCAATTTCGTTGCTAAATTCCTTAGGCAAAATCGTTGAAAAAATCATCTCCCGTAGACTTTCCGCTTCAATTGACTCCCTGAAATGCCTCCCCAACGAACAATACGGATTCCGCCCTCAGCACAACACGACTCTAGCAGTAGCGAGGGTAGCTCAAGACGCCTCAATAGCGTTCAACAACCGTGAAAGCACCTTCCTACTGCTACTCGACATAGAGAAGGCCTTTGACAAAGTATGGCACAAGGGCCTTCTCTACAAACTACTGACAGTACACAACTTACCCCTCCATCTAATTTCTCTTATTGCCTCTTACCTTTGCGATAGAACATTCAATATTAAATTCGAAAGCTCTCTGTCCCAAACCAAATCGATTCGGGCCGGAGTGCCCCAGGGCACCGTCCTCTCCCCCACCCTGTTTAACTTGTATATCGCCGACATACCCAAAACAAATGACACTAAAGTCATGATGTATGCCGACGATACTGCAATATACACCAGTGCCTTTCTAGCAGAAGACGCGAGAAGGGCGCTGGAACGACACATCGACCTCCTAACTCCCTACCTACAGACCTGGAAAATCACCCTCAACACCCCCAAAACAGAACTCCTTATGCCCGTATTACATATGTGTATTTTTCCGTGTATTTATTCATGTAGTTCAGGGTGCCAACATGATTTTGTTTTTCATAATGCTGATTTATGTTGCGTTTGAAGTTTTTCGGTTGTCACCCTGAACTACATGAATAAATTCACAGAAAAATACACAGATGTCATACGGGCTTTACACTTACCAGGACGCGCACAAACATCATCATGAACCCCCCTCTGACGATTAACAACGTCATAATCGAACCCAAAACCACTGCCAAGTACCTGGGAATAGTTCTTGATAAGACCCTCAAGGGCCACCCCCAGGTAGCACACACCCTCAGAAAGGCACATATCGCCGAGCGTCTTCTGTCTCCCATCATGAAGAACAATTCTTTTCTGAGCCCAAAAAACAAAATCAGCGTCTACAAGACAATAATACGTCCAACGTTACTC